ATTTTCCGCTCACACCTGTGACGTCACAATGATTTTACGGTCGTATCCATATAGCATTGTGACATAGCTGTAACTTCAAAATGTTTGAGGTCCATTTTTTTCAACGATCAACCCTTTCTGTCCCAGATTGGAATATGCAATTAATGACTTAGGGTATCCTGCTTCATCTCTATCGCAATAAAAGGAACAAAACAATTGAAGAGACAAATCCCTAACCCTACAATGTGAATGATTGTACCTTACAAAGATGACACCAGGTGTTCATTAAAATTCTATACCGTCGTGCATACAACATTGTCTTTCACACACTTACAGTTGGAACTTCACATACACACGCCTGGCATCATGGTAGACCACAAACAGTGAATTCTATTTCAAATGTGTATTCCACACAATGCTAAATATGTAAAATGGGAACACACTTAATTGCTGCTTTCAGTATGATTTGTCAACAAACTGCTTTCAGTATTATTTGTCAACAAACTGCTTTCAGTAGTATTTGTCAACAAACTGCTTGCAGTATTATTTGTCAACAAACTGCTTGCAGTATTATTTGTCAACAAACTGCTTTCAGTATTATTTGTCAACAAACTGCTTTCAGTATGATTTGTCAACAAACTGCTTTCAGTATTATTTGTCAACAAACTGCTTTCAGTATTATTTGTCAACATACTGCTTTCAGTATTATTTGTCAACAAACTGCTTTCAGTATTATTTGTCAACAAACTGCTTTCATTATTATTTGTCAACATACTGCTTTCAGTATGATTTGTCAACAAACTGCTTTCAGTAGTATTTGTCAACAAACTGCTTGCAGTATTATTTGTCAACAAACTGCTTGCAGTATTATTTGTCAACAAACTGCTTTCAGTATTATTTGTCAACAAACTGCTTTCAGTATGATTTGTCAACAAACTGCTTTCAGTAGTATTTGTCAACAAACTGCTTTCAGTATTATTTGTCAACATACTGCTTTCAGTATTATTTGTCAACAAACTGCTTTCAGTATTATTTGTCAACAAACTGCTTTCATTATTATTTGTCAACAAACTGCTTTCAGTATGATTTGTCAACAAACTGCTTTCAGTAGTATTTGTCAACAAACTGCTTTCAGTATTATTTGTCAACATACTGCTTTCAGTATTATTTGTCAACAAACTGCTTTCAGTATTATTTGTCAACAAACTGCTTTCATTATTATTTGTCAACATACTGCTTTCAGTATGATTTGTCAACAAACTGCTTTCAGTATTATTTGTCAACAAACTGCTTTCAGTATTATTTGTCAACATACTGCTTTCAGTATTATTTGTCAACAAACTGCTTTCAGTATTATTTGTCAACATACTGCTTTCAGTATTATTTGTCAACATACTGCTTTCAGTATTATTTGTCAACAAACTGCTTTCAGTATTATTTGTCAACATACTGCTTTCAGTATTATTTGTCGTCAAACTGCTTTCAGTATTATTTGTCAACAAAATGCTTTCATTATTATTTGTCAACATACTGCTTTCAGTATTATTTGTAAACCTACTGCTTTCAGTATTATTTGTCAACAAACTGCTTTCAGTATTATTTGTCAACAAACTGCTTTCAGTATTATTTGTCAACATACTGCTTTCAGTATGATTTGTCAACAAACTGCTTTCAGTATTATTTGTCAACATACTGCTTTCAGTATTATTTGTCAACAAACTGCTTTCAGTATTATTTGTCAACAAACTGCTTTCAGTATTATTTGTCAACAAACTGCTTTCAGTATTATTTGTCAACAAACTGCTTTCAGTAGTATTTGTCATCCTACTGCTTTCAGTATTATTTGTCAACAAACTGCTTTCAGTATTATTTGTCAACATACTGCTTTCAGTATTATTTGTCAACAAACTGCTTTCAGTATTATTTGTCAACAAACTGCTTTCAGTAGTATTTGTAAACCTACTGCTTTCAGTATTATTTGTCAACAAACTGCTTTCAGTATTATTTGTCAACAAACTGCTTTCAGTATTATTTGTCAACAAACTGCTTTCAGTAGTATTTGTAAACCTACTGCTTTCAGTATTATTTGTCAACAAACTGCTTTCAGTATTATTTGTTAACATACTGCTTTCAGTATTATTTGTCAACAAACTGCTTTCAGTATTATTTGTCAACAAACTGCTTTCAGTATTATTTGTCAACAAAATGCTTTCAGTATTATTTGTCGTCAAACTGCTTTCAGTATTATTTGTCAACAAAATGCTTTCAGTATTATTTGTCAACATACTGCTTTCAGTATTATTTGTCAACATTCTGCTTTCAGTATTTTTTGTCAACATACTGCTTTCAGTATTATTTGTCAACATACTGCTTTCAGTATTATTTGTCAACATACTTCTTTCAGTATTATTTGTCAACATACTGCTTTCAGTATTATTTGTCAACATACTGCCTTCAGTATTATTTGTCAACAAACTGCTTTCAGTATTATTTGTCAACAAACTGCTTTCAGTATTACTTGTCAACAAACTGCATTCAGTATTATTTGTCAACAAAATGCTATCAGTATTATTTGTCACCATACTGCTTTCAGTATTATTTGTCAACAAAATGCTTTCAGTATCATTTGTCAACAAACTTGTCAATCATTATTTGAAATAAGAATACGTCACTGGAGTAGTATAATACCAACACATATGTGTTTGGCATGATGAAGGATGACACGGGCACAAACACTGTACGCAAGGAGTCAACACACGAGCCACAAGATAGTGTTTACGGTTTAAATGCATATTTTATATCTTACTGTTACGTATACGTGTTCTTGATATGAATGATGTGCCCATGATTATTATGATCATGTTTATTACACAGTCGGATACCCTTGAGTAAGATTAAAATGATGTCACATAATCTGTCAGTAACTGGTTATATTCATCACTTCATGCCAATGGTGTCTCGGTGTGACCTTATGCAAAACCCATCGAATTGGCAGTCTTTAACGCATTATCACATAAAACAGCATCATATTACACAACACAAGCCTAAAACCTTACGAGCATCATAGCAGCATTCAACTGATGCGCTGGACAGTAATTGAATGAGCGAGTTAGGTTTTTAATATTATATTATAATCGACCATTACAGCACGTGGTTAGTGTATGTGTGAGAGAGAGAGAGAGGGTATATGTATATATATACTGTATATATACGCTATACACATTAACTGTCCTCCAATCGTTTAATCGTAATCTCTATACGATGCATGTGTCGCTAAAAAAATGCTACATATTCTTTCGATATCAACTGTTTCCTTACTCAATGACTTCTGTCGCTGTCGACATCCCCTGCAGAATGTGTCCTATCTGTGCTTACTCTGTATGGTATTACTGCAAGGAAAGCACATTCTCAACGTTTTTATATCTTTCTCCCGTTATGCAATACGGTGCCAGTTGGATGCTAAAACAAATACTCCCTCCTCTCTCGTCGAGTCCAGTGTTTTAATTACTGGAACTGTAAATCGAGCTTTATATTCCCATAGATGACACCACACAGCTTAATGCACATTATGATGAAGCATTTCAAGATCATGGTCTCATATTCCTTTATCAAAACGTCTTCTGTTTGGTTTGTCTGTACCAGATCACGCAGGTTAACTGATGGCGCCGGTGCTTTTGTCTTTCCGGTTCCCTCCCTTTATCATATATGCTTTAATGGCTAAAACACAATCGTTAGGCGATATTCCATCCAACTGGGCTATTTTCACCAAAGCGTTATTTCCGAAATGTTCCGTAAAGACATTTCCCTTTTGGCAGGTGAGAAATTCGGATTTTAGAGTGGCTGAGTGTGAATTTCATGCCACTCCAAATTTGTCAACTGTATAAAACGGTCATCCATCTTGAATTCTAGCTATTACTCGCCCCACCCGGGTACCCACTGAAGGTCTCAAGCGTTGGGAACAAAATGTCTGATTCGGAATTGTTTTACCGCAGCACTGGCAAAAACTATTAAGATACATGTATCAAACGATCAGATCATGCGTACACTGAAGTTGACTGAAGCTTCGTCTTTACTCAAACATATACAAGTCAAAGGAATGTCTGCATTTTTTCTGTCATTAAACAATATATCACGTGACTAACCACGTGTCCGGGTAGTCCAGTGGGTATACCCGAGTTCTATACTCAGGACCCACCCGACCCGAGTTACCCGTCCCAGCCCTATTCACCATGGTTCATTCGCAGAACGGCTCCAGAATAATTTTATACTAATCCCCTTCTGGACTAATAGGGGGTCGGCTTCAATTAGTTTTGGTCATCAGGTCGACGTCCTGCGAGGATCCCGTTCACCATACGGGGATCCAAGGACAGGGGGTACACTAATCATATGTTTACGTAATAAAAAAGACCATATACAACTGAATCATTTCGTGACATCTAACATTTATGCATGCAAATACTTTTTAGCAAACACACGCAAAATTTACATTCAGCTAACATATATAAGTGCATCCCGCAAACCAACAACCCCCCCCCCCCCCCCCTGCTGTGTAAGGTCTACGCGCTTGTTCATGTTATTTCTTTAAAACAATTCTTATCAAAATTGGGTATTGGGTGACTGCATCCATGGGTGTGTACGTGTTGGGGTGTGGTAATGCATGCATGATAATAAGTTAACTCAAAAGAGTTATTTGCTTATTTGATGTCTTATATTGTAATAACACTTTCAGTTTTTAATAATTAATTTTCTTCTGGGTTTGAAATGGGTAATTTATACCGGTTGCATGATCCAACGCTATATATATATATATATATATAAACACATGTATCCATACGCTATAGCTTATAATGACATCGCCATTGCTATGGAAATATTTTGTGTAGTTATGTGAATCTTAAATTAGAACTACTAGTCGTACAAGTGGGTTATTTGAAAGTACGTTGTACCCTTGTTATGAATAATACTATTATTAGTTGTACATTTGTGAGAGCAAGTAGTACTTTATAGCAGCCCGTCTGTTATTAGCCATTAGGGAAATATTACACGGAAGCAAGATGGCGGATGACAGGACGCCTCCTTCTAATAAGGTTGGGCCGTCTTTCTTTTATTGGTGTTTTGAATTAAATTCACAGATGATCCTAAGTCGAGTTTGATGATTTCGCCAGAAATTGCAATTAGGAATAATTGTATGTGTATAACATAGTGTAAAGCATATGCAAACATTCAATATTTGCTTATCACGAAGTAACACGCACTTGCAAGCTGGAAAAATGATGAATGTATTGAATACTAGTATTTCACAAATGTGTCATAACATCAGGATATCTTAAAGCTGGTCAAATGGATGTTTATATTTCAGTCTGGCTTTTTGATGTCCATTGTCAGGACTTTATCATCAAGGTATGTAAAATTGTTATCCAGATCTACTGGGAGACATTCCCCGATATCATTTGATTTATGCATGTTATATGAAGAGTATGATATAGTGCATCATATATTTTTTATAAATAACATTTGTAGGTTTAAACCCTGACACTTAATAAAGTAGTGTTTAGTTCAGTGCAAGTTTTATGTCATGTAGAATATATATACGTTACATGAACATGATGAAAGAAATTTGAAATTTATGCATTTATTAAAGCCACCTGGCCACACTTGCCTTACAGATGAAAATAGGACACACTGTTTTATTCCAGATCTGTATTGTGTATTACTCATGGAATCATATTAAAAGTCAGTTGGATGTTGAGTGGAGACATTTAGTTTCCTTCATGTTATGCCTACAGCGCGGACTTCGAACAAAGAGAGAAGGAGAAAACGCGAATTGAGAAAGCCTATCGAGAAAGTGACAAGAGACTTTCTGAACATGTGACAAGTAAGTTTAACAAATATAACAGATAGTCTTTTATGAGCTCCTAATCTGAATGATATGTATTAGTTAGTTCTGTTTATGCACATATTATTGTATGATTAAATGTGGATGTTGATTCTTTATTACACATTATCTTTGCTTATATTCTTATTCCGTTGTCTAATGAGTCATTCCCCTACCTACAGCATAAGGGCCATGATGGAAGTATGATGATAGTTAAGATGCTGACATGGTAATGGGATAGGAATCTCTACCAAATAGATGTGTTATGCATTGGTAATCATCTTGACATCCTCATCAATCATATCATCCCCGACCCATGAAGATCCGGGGCAGAAAAGGCCTTCAGCAACCCATGCTTGCCGTTAAGCCGACTATGCTTGTAAGAGGCGACTTACAGGATCGGGTGGTCAGATTCGCTGACTTGGTTGCTGCATGTCATCGTATCCTAATTGCGTGGATCAATGCTCATGACATCAATCACTGGATTGTCTGGTCCAGACTCGATTATTTACAGACCACCGTCATATAGATGGAATATTGCTGAGTGCGGCCTTAAACAACAAAGAAACGAAACAATATCATCCCCCGCAGCGGTTCAGCTGTTTGTATCATTAACATGATTAATATGTTTTGTTCAGGCAAATTAAATATTCATCTGTTAGATCATATCCAAAGATATACAAAACATGTCTTAATAACAGTCTTATGCATGTCATCTTGTCCTAAACATGTTAAAGATATAATTCTGTGGTTACATCATTACACATTTTGTTTTCAGATCATTATGATGACATCATCAAGGTCATGACAGCTTTCAGTGCTATGACCAAAAGCATCAATGGTACGTTTATGTATGAATAATCCCATTGGGAATTCAAGTGAATAGTAGTCGTCTTTGTGTTAAGAGCTGACTAAAATGAGAATGGGGTGGTTATAATGTTTAGCTGCTTGTTAATGCTATCAACCACTAGATCACCAGTCTTGATTATTTGTAGGCTATTTGATACATGATATGTCTGAATTTTATTAATACTTTATGTCGTAAGTATTCCATCCGTTTAGTCCCTAGTATTTGTTTTTTTTCTTCAATCCAGTGATTGATAATGTGAACAATGTGCCATTGTACCGTTGCCGTTGGTATGGTTTTACACCGCTTTTAGCAATATTCCAGCAGTATCACGGCTGGGGACACCAGTAATGGGCTTCACACATTCTTACCATGTCGGGAATTGAACCTGGATCTTCGGCATGACGAGCGAACCCTTTAACCACTAGGCTACCCGGCCATCCCGCATTGGTTACTGGGGACCAGTTCTTACCCAGAGTCCCCATGGGGTAGTCATGTGTGAAGTGAATTAAGGTGGATCAGGTGATTAGGCTCTGTGTTTTGGCCAACTGCGTGTCATCGCGACCCGATGGCATGGATCTTTGTTTGATATTCACAAAGAAGCAATCACTAGTATCCTAGTTACAGACATGATTATTTACAGTCTGCCTTGGTAAACCTGGAATATTGCTGATGGGGATATAAAACACCTCACTCAAATTATACACTCAACAAAATAAAGAGTCTCACATGTAATAATTTCATTTGTCTAGTCTGCCCATCACAACTTTCAATTTTCTGCTCCTGATTAGTGCTTACTGGCTATGGAAGCATTACCGTATTCAACGTAATAAGCGCCCAGGGCGCTCTCAAAATTAGAAATAGGGGGCTCTTATTAGAATATTATTTTGGTGAAAAAACAGAGTTGAAAGATAAATTTCGTTGTTTATGCTGACAGCCTGAAATGTTTATATACAACAGATATATGTTTCCAGAATTTAATTGCCAATAATAAAGGGTGCATATAACACACCAATGCGTATTATACGCGAATAGGGGAAGGAAGCGGTGCGTATTATATGCGAATAGGGGTCAGAAGGGGTGCTAATTGGGATTGTTCACTAGCCAATCTATCAACAAATCTCGCCGTGGTCGCTTATTACGTCGAATATGGTAATCAAAAGATGAATGGAAAATTGATACTCCGATGATATTCTTGAAATTCATTAATGGAAACAATGACAGTGGAAAAGTTCATACCCAGAATTACTTTGTAATGCCCAAGCTACAGTGACATGACATCTAATTCAACTTTCCAGAATCTCGAGAGAAGATCCATAAGATTAAAGATGACCTCAACTCCTGTAAAACTCTGCTCCACTTCAAGCGGGATGAGTTGCGGAAACTGTGGCGAGATGGTGTCGAACACAAAGCTGTACTTGCCATGCTTGACCAGATGTAAGTATATATGTTGTGTAACCATGGTAACAATACACTTTGTTAAAAATATTCAGGGTATGAACTGTGATGGCCAAGTGGTCCCAAGATCCTGCAGTTTGCAGCCTTCGAAAATTCACGCTAGTCTGCTAGCCAAAGACAACTAAATTGTGCTAAGGACAAATAAAAATACAATAATGGCAGTCCTCATTGACATGAAGAAATTTCTTGAATTTAGTTTATATATTTGAATTGCAAATTGAAGCAGATGACAGCCATCTCATCAACCAATCTCATTAAAATCGGATCTTTTGCTCAATATGATACTTCTCTGCATGAAGATCTGACAAATCCTCCACATGAAGTGGAAGGGGGATATAGGAATGGGTGCTGTCCATCCATCAGGTTTTGTTTCCGAAGAAGAACTAAAAAACCATGAGAGATATCTTAACCAAACTTAGCACATGGAGAGGTCTATTGGTGGTGAACTGGGGCCATTTGATAGTTTGGGTTTTTAAAAAAAATGTTTTTTAAGTTTCCATGGCAACAACATTGACTTATACTGAAAATGCCGTTAGTGCTCATTCTGGAGCAGATCTTGAAAAACATACAATATTTCTTGCCTTGCAAACAACTGGCCATGTCATCATATTTGGCGGGGGATATGAGTATTTCATGCTTGTCAATAAAAGTATTACGGAACAAATGCTGACAGAAATATTTACTTGATATTTTAGTGAACAGATGAAGGAGGTTCCAGATAAGATGGACAACTACCTGTCGGGGAAGCATTACCTGCATGCCACGGACCTCATTGTTCAGTCAGGTAGAAACAGTTTTCTATCATAGGAGTTGATTGTTAATAACAAACAGGTGACAAAGGCCCCACAGTTGTTTTGCAGAATGTTCAAGATTCATACTAATTATGATCATTGGTTTGCCAGAACAATTCCTGGGTTTCAACAAGATTGTAAACTCCTGTGTAACTTTGGGCTTTCGGTGCCCCAGCCGTCTGTCGTGCCGCAATTCGCTGTGTGGAGTTATGTCCCTTGGGCATGCAAAAAACCTATGATAGTGGGTTTGAATCTCAGTTCACCCCGATTATGTTTCTGGGTTTGTCTGCACCATACCTGTGTTCGTGGGTTTCACCGAAGTGATGAACGTCTGTGACCTGTGATATACCCTGAAATGACTGAAATTCTGTTTGAAGAGGCATAAAACCCAACCCACTCATAATATAATTTAATAGCATATATATCTAATCATGGTAATAGTTATGTCATATCACAATTAAATATTTTATTCACATGTACATCATGTGCATAGGCCTATTTTATTCATTTGTTTTATTTTGGGATTGTCGATCTATAAAATTCAGTGAGAGAAGGTTTCTCCTTCTGATAAGGTGTTTACAGTGGTCATAATTTGTTATGATGAACATTGCTCTTGACCCGTTATCTTAAAGTTATTAATTACTTAAGTGTTGTTTTTTTTCATTACATCATAGAAAGACAATCACCCAAGTATATGACATTTTTTATTTGTCTTTTTGGGGTTTAGTCAGTTATCAACCTCCAGAAATAAAAAGCGATCAAGAAGCATGTAGTTATTAAAATAGCCCCGCTTGAGCATTTTCACTGTATTGCTTTGTTTGTCAGTGGCCAAGTTGGACACCAGCCTGTCAACGGTGGAGGCATTACGGGACTTGAGATCGGAGCTGACAGCCAGGAAGGAGGTGAGACACTATAGAGCTCCAGGTACACTGTGTCCTTGTGTAAAATATGAGTAGAAGTTATGTGGAGTCCCGGCCATGTGACACTATAGAGCTCCAGGTACACTGTGTCCTTGTGTAAAATATGAGTAGAAGTTATGTGGAGTCCCGGCCATGTGACACTGTCCCCATATCTCTCATTTTATACAGTAAGTCCATATTTGTGAATATTTTATAGCTACGCAATAAATTGCAATGAACCATGAAGAGTGAAGTCTGGTTTATTTCACGATAGAACATCGTTCTATCCTGACATCCTTTCTTGAGATTTGTACACATAAATTGGACGACGTTATTTTTGATAAGGAAGTGTCGAGTGAGTAGTTCATTATATATGTAGCTGGGCAATGTACATAAATGCATTCCTCGAACGATTGTATCCAAACGGGGAAGAGATATGACAATTGGTATTGGGAGAAAGGTGACAGATGATCGACGTGAAATTTTTTAGAATATCTGGGAAATATCAAACTTAACACCCCTGTTCATAAAATGTACTTTTTTAAAACTATTGGATGTCGCATTTTTCTAAATCATGCAAATTTTCATTTTGTTGGTAAAGTTTAAATAAGTGACAAGTCGTATTGAAATAATGAAAATATCAGTTGATTCCTGTGATCTAAAGACCCCAAAACTTGTTCTTGAAGACACCATTTCTTCATAAATGTTGATTTGAAAACACTATATCTTCATGGCATGTGTTTTGTTCAGCGCCTACACGAGGTGTTGATAGAGGAACTGAACAGGCAGATATACGAGAAGTCCGCTGTTGCTAGAAGCCTGGGACGGCGTGGTTCCTGGAGGCGAGGACAGAAAGATTTACTGTTCCTCAAGTCGTGTTCACGTATGTAGTAGAACTCAGTCACAGTCAATGTTCTGTAATCAAAGGCAAGGTTATAAGGATTTGTCATCTGAAAATTAATAATACATGTAAGGACAATGTGGATCAATTGTTTCGCAGATTGATTACCCTCCTAACTAGTAGTGAAAGTCAAAATACTGTGTCACAACTCAATTTCTTTTTATATTTGAAACTACTGTACATCTCAGACTGTGACATTTTACATAATTTGTACTTGAAAACTGTTGACTTGAAATTTGAAAATTGTTCAGGCCATGAGAGATGATAGTGAGTGAGTGATACGGTTTTTCGCCGCTTAAATCAATATTCCAGCAAGATGGGGGACTCCAGCAATGAGCTTCATGCATTGTACCCACGTGGAGATTCAAACCTGGGCCTTCAGCATGTTGAGCCAAAGCTTTAACCATTAGACTACCCGACTGCCCCCATAAGAGATGTTAGAGTTTTAGTATTGTTAATTTTTAGAATTATTTGAAAGCCAGATAATTTTGACTCCAATTGGAAACAGTACACTTCAAAGAAATTGAGAGTAGAATTAGATTATGAGGTTCTAAAACTGGACTATTGGTCACTGTTTGTCTAAAACTGGACTATTGGTCACTGTTTGTCTAAAACTGGACTATTGGTCACTGTTTGTCTGAAACTGAACTATTCATCACTGTTCCTCTGAAACTGGACTATTGGTCATGGTTTGTCTAAAACTGGACTATTCATCACTGTTTGTCTGAAACTGGACTATTCATCACTGTTCCTCTGAAACTGGACTATTGGTCATGGTTTGTCTAAAACTGGACTATTGGTCACTGTTTGTCTAAAACTGGACTATTGGTCACTGTTTGTCTAAAACTGGACTATTGGTCACTGTTTGTCTAAAACTGGACTATTGGTCACTGTTTGTCTAAAACTGAGCTATTGGTCACTGTTTGTCTAAAACTAGACTATTGGTCACTGTTTGTCTAAAACTAGACTAATGGTCACTGTTTGTCTGAAACTGGCCTATTTGTCACTGTTTGTCTAAAACTAGACTATTGGTCACTGTTTGTCTGAAACTGGACTATTCGTCACTGTTTGTCTAAAACTGACATATTGGTCACTGTTTGTCTAAAACTTGACTATTGGTCACTGTTTGTCTGAAACTGAACTATTCATCACTGTTCCTCTGAAACTGGACTATTGGTCATGGTTTGTCTAAAACTGGACTATTCATCACTGTTTGTCTGAAACTGGACTATTCATCACTGTTCCTCTGAAACTGGACTATTGGTCATGGTTTGTCTAAAACTGGACTATTGGTCACTGTTTGTCTAAAACTGGACTATTGGTCACTGTTTGTCTAAAACTGGACTATTGGTCACTGTTTGTCTAAAACTGGACTATTGGTCACTGTTTGTCTAAAACTGAGCTATTGGTCACTGTTTGTCTAAAACTAGACTATTGGTCACTGTTTGTCTAAAACTAGACTAATGGTCACTGTTTGTCTGAAACTGGCCTATTTGTCACTGTTTGTCTAAAACTAGACTATTGGTCACTGTTTGTCTGAAACTGGACTATTCGTCACTGTTTGTCTAAAACTGACATATTGGTCACTGTTTGTCTAAAACTTGACTATTGGTCACTGTTTGTCTGAAACTGGACTATTCGTCACTGTTTGTCTAAAACTGGACTATTCATCACTGTTTGTCTGAAACTGGACTATTGGTCACTGTTTGTCTAAGACTGGAATGTTGGTAACTGTATGTGTAAGACTAAAACTAAAACCAATCAATTTATTCAAAGACCACACCTGTACTTGAACTGTTAATGTACAGGAGATGGGGACTTTGTATCGGAAGATGGCCGTCTCCTGCATGAAGTGAAGGAAGATCTCAGCTCCAGCCCTGAGGAAAACCTGCCGAGGTTCATCTCCATCCTCATAGAGTCTCTGGCAGTTCTCAAGAAACTCCCCGAAGCTGTGGAGGTAAGGACATATACTGAGATATCTGTCTTTGACAGGAGACCAATCTGCTGATGTCTGCAGTGTATTCAACAGCCTTACTCAGGTATACATAGATGGCCTAATCAGTCATTAAATATGATTTTTTTTATCCCCTCCTGCATATAATGTGTGGGGATATAGTCATCATCTTGTCCATCTGTCAGTCCCTAGTGGTTTCTGGAGCCTAACTTGAAAACTATGAAAGATGTTTCATCCACACTTGGTACATGAATTAAGCATGGGCTGAAGTGGTGCCTTTGGCATCAGTTCTTCTGATGACTCTTGTTTTTTGTCTCTTTTGTCCTTGCAGACAGTCCATACTATCTATGTCTAGAGTTGTGTCCCTTGGATGCCATGTTCCAATGGCTGTAGATTGGAATCCAATGTTATCAATAGTGATGAATATCATTTCCAAGACTGTTGTTATTTACAGCATGTACAGAAAAATGTCTTTTTTTATGAATTACTGAAAAAGAAACACATAATAGTTTCTTTAAATACTTCCATGCTGTCAAAAAGTGAGGAGATTCCATGCTTCCATGGTTTCAGGGCATCAAGATGAGGATTCAACCGGGGCTGCTGACTCTGGTGGCGAAGGCCTCACAGCAGGTGCTGGAGAGGTAGGTGCAACATGCTCATCGGGGGTCCAGAGGGGGTCCAGGAGGTCCGGACAATTCCCCCACCCCACCACCCCATTCCTTTTGAAAATCAAATGTGATGTTTATGTGATATTATCTACTTGCAAATATTTTCGTGTTTAATCTGTATCAGCTGTAAACAGGATTCCTAAAATGCAGTTTACTTCACAGACCTGCAAGAGAAGCATGCATGATCTTGCCAGAGACAGTAAATCCATAGTTAGATTACCAGTCATGATGATATTATCTATTTGCAAACAGATGTTCATGTATCTTCTGCATGATCTCCAAACAGGCATCTGAAACACAAAAATGGATTGTTTTATGTCAACAATCCACTTTTGTTCACTTTTTCCTTATTTTTGATGTTTAGAGATCAATTTACCGTAAGTAGAATAAAACAAGTTTATTGTGACCATAGACCCAACATGCTTAGAGAATATTTTTAATTCAAGTAATTACAATCTGAGGCCATGTTTGTTCAGTGGAGGGGACAGCCTGGCAAGTCAGAATCAGCCGCGGTACCTTCTGGACCTGTTGGAGACCATCTTCCAGCAGTTCCGCAGCGTGGCCCAGATGCACGAACTCGTCCTCAAGAATGTCCACCATAGTATGGTGAGTTTTCTCCCCTTCCAGACCTTCACCATGCTCATATCACAGCTCAATCACACACTCTTGTAGGCATTTGTAAAGTCCAATATGGAAATTATGTGGTTAATATGACACATGCTTTTATTGGTGTTATATTCAGTTGACTCTTTTCTGCAATATTCTGCAGAATTCTGGCAATATCTTGGCAATATTCTGGCAAGATTCAAAGTCAGACGGTGTCCCCATGCATTCCATGACATTGAAGAATGCTTGATTCTGATTGGTTCAATTTGATACCTCTAAAATAAACCTGTTCACCAAAAACATGCATATGAATCCATTGATAGCCTCCATTTTGATCCGTTAAAATTGCTAAAGTGGTTGGTTCCACTAGAACAAGAGGTATCAAATCCACAGTGAGACCACCTTAAATTTCATAACACAGCTGCTTTATCACCTAGTTATCAAATAAGACTCATTTACAGGAGTCAAATCCCACCGAATAGTCCCCATAAGATGAGTCATATGTAAATGTAGTGTTCATTCATACCGGTACATATCACAAACTTCATATTGTGAAGATAATCATTTGAAACCCCACTTTCATCTGTATTTGATGTTATTTGACCTAAATGCCTTCCATCGAAAGTTTTCATCTTAATATGTTTGAATCTCTATTTATGATTTACCCCGGCTGTTTTGCTTATTAAATCATCAGAGTTTGTGTCGTTTGGGTCTGTCAGATGTTTATATCCTTAACACTAAGTTTGTGCTGGAGTGGAATGCAATGGTTCTGCACAGCATGGAATAAAAGACAGTATGATTATTTTATTCCACTCTAAACGCATTGCCAGTTTTTGTAGGTACCACTGTCAAGGTATGCTGACATGACATTTTGAGACACAGGTTACCTTGGAAACACATGACAATTTACTGCATGTTTTTCACATTCACATTATCACATATTTTAATTGTTTGCTGTTACATAAAGCATGATATTAATGAAATCAAATTGGTTGATCTTGTTGATCAATATGTCACAATATATGCTTTCTAGGAATTCACTTGCAATGTTGAAAAAGACTTGTAAAATACATTTTGTTTTGAATGTACAAAGACTTGGCTTGTAGATTTGTTTTTTTATAACTGTAGTGTCAAGTGGTACAACTGAAAGTTAAATAGCTATAATATACTACTCAAAAGAAGTTAAAGAACACCTTTCATATTGCTATTGTTAATGTGTCATGTGTCGTCAACTATGGTAATGTAAAAGAATTGGTGTTCTTTGACTTCTTTTGAGCAGTATATATTTCTTTCCATGATCTCTTAAATATGTTAAAAGTCTGCTCCGTAGGAGGAGAAACATGTAATTAAAGAAAATTTGTTTATTTGGATGACAAGTCCCTTTTCAAATGCCATCTACTATTTCACATTTGTTAACAGACTCAAAATGCTCAATGTGAATATTTTTTTAAATTTATTTTTTAAATTTTATATTCAATACATATATACTATTCAAAAGAAGTTGAGGACCACCCTATTCTTTCATATTACTATACTTAATATGTCATGCCATGATAGGTTCGATTCCTGACATGGGTACAATATGTGAAGCCCATTTCTGGTGTCCCCCGCCGTGATATTGCTGGAATATTGCTAAAAGCATGGTAAAACCATACTCACTCACTCACTCATGCCATGATAAATTAGCTACAGTAATATGAAAGAATCGGGTGGTCCTTAACTTCTTTTGAACAGTACATAACAAGTTTTTTAGGTTTTGGTTGGCATGTCTGTAAAATATGGTAAAAGAAGCCAAATGACTGAGTGAATGTTGATTAAATGTGGGGAATGTCAACTTTTGTTTCAAGCAATCTGGAGAATCTCAGTCGGAGGTACTATGAGCATCCAGTAGTTTTATGTGTAGTTCACATGGACGTAGTTGTCTTGATGCCTGTCTTCTGTCATCGTCATAGTTTCACAGGTTTGTATACACTCGCTTCCTGCATCACCAATAGATACATACAGCCGCAATCCAGTGTAGTCTTGATTGCAGTGTCGTCACATTTTGAGCAAAGGCCAGGGTCAAGTGGGAGGGTAGCAGAGATTGATCAGGCCATTAAGGTCTCTGCTTGCCCACACAAACAGCAATGTTTCTCACTTGACAACATGGGAAGCATGTGACACAGCCCTGTGGCTGTCTGCTCTACTCATTGCATTAATACCAGGCAATAGTATGCTTGGCATAGAGATTAGGATGCGTGTTACCTTCCATGAGTTCTAAACGTTCGTATTCATTTTACTTTCAATAGACGGGAGCACGGGGGCACTCTGTGCAGAGTTGTGTCCCTTTGGCCTGAGAACCTACGATCGTGGGTTTAAATCTTTGCCTGACGATATTTCTAGGTTTGTCAGCACCATACCCGTGCTTGTGGGTTTCACCAAAGTGGTAAATGTCTGAGACTTGCATTACTATGGGCTATCCTCCAACTTTAAGCTGACACAATGTGATATAACTGGAATACTGATCAAAGCGGTGTTAAGCCCAACTCTGTCCTCCAATACCTTGAATAGACACACGCCACTCCTACACCGCACAGCGTTCATATGTATTCATGGATGAGATTCCTCCACCACCGTGAATACATAATGTTACTATGCAGTGATAGGCATTTAATTGATACATTATTTAACAGTGGGCACGAGTGGCCCAGTTGTCTAAGGTGCCGAAATTTGGGGTGCAGAGATGTGTCCCTTGGGCATGCCAGAAACCTATGATTGTGGGTTCGAATACCATTTCGCCCCGATTATGTTTCTAGGTTTGTCATCAACATACCCGTGCTTGTGGGTTTCACCAAAGTGGATAACGTCTGAGATCTGCATCACTTTGGGCTTTCCTCCCACATTAAGCTGACTCGCCGTGATATGACTGGAATACTGTTCAAAGCAGCGTTAAACCAAACTCACTCACTCACATTGGTTACCATAGCAACCTACTGCACACAGCGTTCATATGTATTCATAAGTGGCATTCCTCAACGACCGTGAGCACATATGCAGTGGTAGGCCTTTGATTGGTTGTCAACATAACGACTAGCGGCTGTATGTATTCATGGGTGATGGAGGTCCGTAGTGTGTACAAGCTGTGAAACATTGACGATGGCTTCTGTTGTGTCTGTCCGCCATGTTTCCACACTGCATGGTTTGACCTCTCTGTCTGTTGTACATTTTGATTATGTTCTTCCTTTGCTCTGTTGACATTTATCATTGTTTATTTCTCATGTTTTTATTTGTATTGTAGTCAAGGTAACCGTTGATTCTGCATGTTGAATGTGTTCTGTTGATACGTCAATAGATATGCCCTGTTACCATGGTTACCATGGTCTTGTTTTAGTGGCATTTAGTACTAGTGAAGCTCGTTAGTTTGGCTTCATGCAGCTTGGAGTAGTACTGGAGCAGTGTGAATATAGGGTCCATACTTTTTGTTTCTTTTAATGTCCCAAATATTCCATGCATTTAGTCCCTAGTATTTGTTTTCTTTGTCGTTAAATGCCACAATCCGCATTATTATAGCTATGTGACAGTGGTCTGTAAATAATAGAGTCTGGACCAGACAATCCAGTGATTGACATCTCATGAGCATCGATCTATGCAATCATCCATGTCAGCGAGCCTGACCACCCCATCCAGTTAGTTGCCTCTTAAGTTCAGTATAGATTGCTGAATACCAATTCTAACCTGAATCTTTACAGGAGTCATTCTTTAGGTGAATGTTGTGTTGTAAAGCAAACTGAGCCAAGATGAGTGATCATCCAACAATCTGTAAGGTTTACTGAAAATTGTGCTGCATGACAAGACCATTTTATTACAGGGGAGAGCTTGTGTTGAGTTTAAAGAGCTTTTTCATTTTAGGGAGAAATCTCTCCTTTAATCTCTGGTGTTGATAATCCTGAGTGATTGAATGCAGTGTTTCATGACAGTCAGAATAGTCCAGCTTTGTCAATGATGCCTGTAATTGAATCTGGTTGGAAGAAACCAGTGGTTGACAACATGAGCATGATGAGCTTCTGTTGGGGAGATGACACACACTTAACCAGGTCACACTTAGTAACCCCCGGATCCTTATCAATCAACTCTAATGAAAAGAAAGAGGTACCGAGGAGCTATTGACCTATCTGGGATGTTGATTTCTTCATTTGAAAAAGACAGCATGTGCAGGGATGGACCTGTTTCTCTCTTTTGCCATGAGGCTATGGTTTTTTAAAATAAACGTTTACTTCTATCAGTATGTTTTACTTATATCTTGTGCTGGGTACTGGTGGGGCATGAGACACTTTGTATTATCATCCAAAACTGGCTTCCATGGGAGATATCACTTGCCTAGTAGTAAACTTTAATTGACTCCTGTTGATATATACTACTCAAAAGAATTTAAGGACCACTTGATTCTTTCATATTACTATAGTTAATCTGTCATGATTCTTTCATGTTACTATTAGTCACTCTGTCAACACCAGAGATCATCAAGTGATGCTTAACTTTTGTGAAGTATTTTTTATGTTAAGAGGCACGTGGGTGAGATTCAGCAGTAGCAGAAGAGTTCATTTTATACAGGTCTTAGATGAACACTGCATCAGCTTGGGGTAACAGTAAGATGCTGTAGTATCTTCACTATTTCTAGGATACCTGATGGGGTGTATGTGAGGTGATATTTGAATGTTGTTCAGCACAGTGACCTTTAAGTATTTGAGACTCGGCCAGGCAAGTGAATGTTTGGTGTAACATGGAGAGCAGATCACATCTCACTCTGGCCAGCTGATTGCCAGTTGAGTTGGTTCTCATGCCCACCTTTGGGTAGTGGATTTTGTCCCAGGGTCCCCACATGGTGACAAACATTGGGTAGTGGGGATGAGTTCTACCCCAGAATCTCCACGGGTAGACAAGCCTGGATGTAGGTGACCTTTTCTGCAAAGGAACCCCACAGGGAGACAAGCTTGGCGGGTAGAGGACTTATTCTGCCCAGGAATCCCCACATGGTGACAAACATTGGGTAGTGGGGATTAGTTCTACCCCAGAATCTCCATGGGTAGACAAGCATGGAAGTAGGAGACCTTTACTGCAAAGGAATCCCCACAGGGAGACAAGCTTGGGGTGTAGAAGACTTATACTGCCCAGGAATCCCCACAGGGAGACAAGCTTGGGGTATAGGGGACTTATTCTGCCCAGGAATCCCCACAGGGAGACAAACTTGGGGTGTAGAGGACTTATTCTGCCCAGGAATCCCCACAGGGAGACAAACTTGGGGTATATGGGACTTATACTGCCCAGGAATCCCCTCAGGGAGACAAGCTTGGGGTGTAGAGGACTTATACTGCCCAGGAATCCCCACAGGGATACAAACTTGGGGTGTAGGGGACTTATTCTGCCCAGGAATCCCCACAGGGATACAAACTTGGGGTGAAGGGGACTTATTCTGCCCAGGAATCCCCACAGGGATACAAACTTGGGGTGTAGAGGACTTATACTGCCCAGGAATCCCCACAGGGATACAAACTTGGGGTGTAGGGGACTTATTCTGCCCACAGGGATACAAACTTGGGGTGTAGAGGACTTATACTGCCCAGGAATCCCCACAGGGATACAAACTTGGGGTGTAGAGGACTTATACTGCCCAGGAATCCCCACAGGGAGACAAGCTTGGGGTGTAGAAGACTTATACTGCCCAGGAATCCCCACAGGGAGACAAGCTTGGGGTATAGGGGACTTATTCTGCCCAGGAATCCCCACAGGGAGACAAACTTGGGGTGTAGAGGACTTATTCTGCCCAGGAATCCCCACAGGGAGACAAACTTGGGGTATATGGGACTTATACTGCCCAGGAATCCCCTCAGGGAGACAAGCTTGGGGTGTAGAGGACTTATACTGCCCAGGAATCCCCACAGGGATACAAACTTGGGGTGTAGAAGACTTATTCTGCCCAGGAATCCCCACAGGGATACAAACTTGGGGTGAAGGGGACTTATTCTGCCCAGGAATCCCCACAGGGATACAAACTTGGGGTGTAGAGGACTTATACTGCCCAGGAATCCCCACAGGGATACAAACTTGGGGTGTAGGGGACTTATTCTGCCCACAGGGATACAAACTTGGGGTGTAGAGGACTTATTCTGCCCAGGAATCCCCACAGGGATACAAACTTGGGGTGTAGAGGACTTATACTGCCCAGGAATCCCCACAGGGATACAAACTTGGGGTGTAGGGGACTTATTCTGCCCAGGAATCCCCACAGGGAGACAAACTTGGGGTGTAGAGGACTTATACTGCCCAGGAATCCCCACAGGGATACAAACTTGGGGTGTAGGGGACTTATTCTGCCAAGGAATCCCCACAGGGAGACAAACTTGGGGTGTAGGGGACTTATTCTGCCCAGGAATCCCCACAGGGATACAAACTTGGGGTGTAGGGGACTTATTCTGCCCAGGAATCCCCACAGGGAGACAAGCTTGGGGTGTAGAGGACTTATTCTGCCCAGGAATCCCCACAGGGATACAAACTTGGGGTGTAGAAGACTTATTCTGCCCAGGAATCCCCACAGGGATACAAACTTGGGGTGTAGAGGACTTATTCTGCCCAGGAACCCATTCTGTGGGTGGGGTGCAGTATTTGAGGGTGTGGTCACACACTGGCCCTCCCTCAAGACTTTTTCTCAAGTTTGAAGTAAATGTCCATTTATACCAGTTGCTATCTCTTCTTGTGAACCCTGCATAATGACATATATCTACATTTACCATCTGTGTACTGAACCTAGCCTATTAACGCCTGCTACAGATCCAGTGATATAAGTTATCGTAATGAAACCTTCAAACTGTGTACATGTCATGCAGATGCTCTGTTGTTTATTCCTATTCTCTTGGTTTATTGATAAATGAGACCTCATTAAAATAGTGCTGTGGTTCCGATTAATTTCAAAAGAGGGTATTTCTTTCTTTCCTTCTGTTTTATGTGTTCGAGAACTACTGTAAAGTTAGGAGTGATTTATGATGGTGTTTATTTTCATCCTTGTCCTCCTGTCATGAAGAGTGACTCCCACTGAAAGCAAGTTTGGGTTGGCATTTATTTTTGGGTAGTTGGATAATCGGAACCGCATCACTTTTGGGGCCTAATACTAATATCTCAACACTGTCATATTTAGTACCCTGCTCTTGGAATGGAAATTCTGTAAGTGAATAACAGTTTCAAGTTGATTGTATTGTATGCAGTAATGGTGAGGAACATAGGCATGCATCCCTAATGATGTGCAACATTTGTCAAGTGTTTAAACTGAAAGATCTTAATTTGTTGGAACAAACATACTACTGCGTAACATCAGTTTTTTAGGAAAATAGTTTTATGGAACATTTCTGTGAACGATAAAGACTAGAAAATTTTGCTTTCATTCTCTGTGAACAACGGCTGGAGTGAGATTTTAACTGCTTGATAATTTTAATGTTATAAGACACCATGAATGCTGTCTGTTCCAGGCGTCGGGGATGCCGATGAGATCTGACCTGATGTACGACATGAAGGATGTCTGGTCAGAAATACAAGCTGTGGTAGGTGTCCTTTTGGCTATGGTGATATGTTCTTGATTCCTAGGCTTTGATTCAAAAGCAATGACCATCCAGATAAGAGCATTTTCAATTCTATGAGACAAAATAGAGACTTTTTCGAAAGTCCGAGTCTTAGGAACACTTGTAAGTTTTCAACCCAGTCTATGTCTGCATTACTAAAAGTTAACATTGTAAATACCACAAGCCATCACTGTGATGTCACTCACACGATTGACAGACTTGGAACCTCCTGATTCTGCTGACCATAGTTTTGCATCCAAGAGTTAACTGATTATGGTTCTATGTTTGTCAGCTTATCAGCACAACACCTTGTAGGTTTCACCCAAGTGGTAAAAGATTAACTGGAATACTTGAATTGGCTTTAATCCCAGGTCACCACTCTGGTCATGGGTTTCAGTTCCCTGATTTCTGTATCACCTTGGGCTTCCGTCATTAAGAATTTTAAACCTGTCATGCTGTGAGTGAGATACATATACTTTTAAAAAAATGTTAAGGAACACCTGATTTTTTTCATATGACTATAGTTTATCTGTCCTGGCTGGAGGGTTTAAAAAACAGCCTTCCAACTGTGGGTGTTCTTTAACTTGTTTTGAGTAGTACCCCGGTATATATACTTGAATTATATTGGATATAGTCTTCACATTAATCAAACTGAGTTGACTGTAGACGGCAAGTGCCTGTTTGGATCCCACATGTTGGTCAGAAGCTGAACTGACTGCTGTTTTTAATTGACTGTTGACACCTTTGGTGGAAGCGCTCACCTTTTAGGTGGCGAAACTCTTTTCTTTTTTATATGACAAAGAGTATGAAATTCAATATTCTTGGTGTGGTTTTGTAAGTATGCAGGATGGATTGGTGTATATGACAGCTGTTGTGATTCAGCTGCAAGTGTTGCTGAGCCAGTATCTGGACGTGCGGAACTCGCTGTCCAACAGACAACAGGCCCCGAGCGGCTTCGATGAGCCCAGCATGGACATCAGCCAGTACTTCAGCAAGAAGAGACAAGCCAAGCCCAAGAAGGTTAGTTTTGTCTCCTCGGCAGTTTGTATTTTTATAAGTTTCATTTTTATCCCCCGCCGGGCCAGAATGGCCGAAGGGGGATTATGTCTTGGCGCAGTCCGTCCGTCCGTCCCACAGAGGGTACTAAGCTTGTGAAATCAACTCCTCCTACAGTTTCCAGAGAATATCCCTGAAACTCTACACACAAGATGTTGACATGTTGATGATACACATATCGCAGTCCCGTTACGTTTCGACTAATTTTGACAGAGTTACTGCCCCTGTTTTACGGAGCTTCATTTGCCTTATTGTGAGAGAGGGTACTTAGCTTGTGAAATCAACTCCTCCTATAGTTTCCAGAGAATATCCCTGAAACTCTACACACAAGATGTTGACATGTTGATGATACGCATATCTCAGTCCCGTTTCATTTGGACTAATTTTGACAGAGATACTGCCCCTGTTTTACGGAGCTTCATTTGCCTTATTGTGAGAGAGGGTACTAAGCTTGTGAAATCAACTCCTCCTACAGTTTCCAGAGAATATCCCTGAAACTCTACACACAAGATGTTGACATGTTGATGATACGCATATCACATTCCCGTTACGTTTCGACTAATTTTGACAGAGTTACTGCCCCTGTTTTACGGAGCTCCATTGTCCTTATTGTGAGAGAGGGTACTAAGCTTGTGAAATCAACTCCTCCTACAGTTTCCAGAGAATATCCCTGACACTCTAAAAACAAGATCTCGACATGTTGATGATACGCATATCACATTCCCGTTACGTTTTGACTAATTTTGACAGAGTTACTGCCCCTGTTTTACGGAGCTTCATTTGACTCGTTAAAAAAATTCATGCGGTGGATTTTGTGCTCTCAGAGCACTCTTGTTGTTTTCTGGTCTTTGTTTTTTTGACTAAAGTGTTAACATTCTACAGTAGTGTGGCTTTTTCATAGATAAAAGGGGCGGTGGGGTAGCCTAGCGGTTAAAGCGGTCATTCATCATACCGAAGACCCGGGTTTGATTCCCGACATGGGTACAATGTGCTAATTTCTGGTGTGCCTCGCCGTGATATTGCGGGAATATTGCTAAAAGTGGCATAAAACTATACTCACTCACTCACTCTGATAGACTTTCCTTGTGTCAGGCTGCCAGGAGATGTTGTAATTGTTCGTTCATATTATAAATGTCCTTACTGTCTTTGAACTATGAAAATAAAACTGGGTTTCAGATAAGCTTGTTCCGGTTTGATGCTTCACTTCATGCCCTCAGTACCAACAGTTACATCGAGGACAGTCGGCAGTTTGATGCAGTGAGTACCAGCTGGACATTGATATAGAGCATCCTTAGGCACATCACCTGTAACACACCTAAAAGATCACCTGTAACAGCACCTGTAACAATAACCTGTAACACACCTGTAACATTCACCTGTAACATCACTTGTAACGTCACCTGCAACACACCTGTAACAATCCCCTGTGACCAGTGAAGATCCGGGTTAGAATAGGTCTTCAGCAACCCATGCTTGTCACTAGAGGCGACTAATCGGATCAAGTGGTCAGACTCACTGACTTGGTTGATGCATGTCATCGATCCCAACTGCTTGGATCGATGCTCATGATGTCAGTCACTGGATTGTCTGGTCCATGCTTCATTATTTACTGACCGCCGTCATATAGCTGGAATATTGCTGAGTGCGGCGTTAAACAACAAACAAACACCTGTAACACACCTGTAACAATCACCTGTAACAATCACCTGTAACAATCACCTGTAACACACCTTTCACAATCACCTGTAACACCTGTCAAAGTAACCCGACAAGGTATTAACAGTGAACATAGAGACATAGAGCACACCCACACCCACACACACACACACACACACACACACACACACACACACACACACATGCACATGCACATGCTAATGCACATGCACATGCACACACGTCGAGGGACATGAAGATTATTAGTTGAATGTGTTCAGATATAACTTTTGTTCCTAATACACAGGTAATCTGTATATATGCGAGAGAGGAAATACATGCGCGCAATAATCTTTTTGCCATATGGCATTTTTAACTTCTTGTGTAAGTAGGCATGGAGCTTATTAAAAGTAGTTCCTGCGAGGTGACCTCATTTATCGGATCATGATACCAAGTTTTTCGGTTTGGTTTATCATAATAATGTGAAAATAGAACTGTGAGAGCAAGTAATGTGTTGAAGTGATCACCAGATGTGATCATCAGTGAGGCTCTGTAAAGCCTTACTGTGTAAATAAAACAATGAGAAATTTCCTGACTATGAAGTGATTTGCTTCTTCTTTCTCATATATGATGACACAATACCTGCCCTTTTGAATGTATTAAGGCAATGTGGGTTGTAAGCTGTTTGTTCCATCATGGAAGTTGCATGTGATTTTTACTTCTGGTTATTTCCCCTTATCCAGGCTGGTTACCTTGGTGACCAGGGTCTGCTAGCTGGACTGAGCAAGCATCAGCTTGTGTGTAAACCTGCAGCCAATAATGTGACAGGTGAGTTAAACTACCTACCTATGTGTGGCAGCCATTGTGACATACAAGGGAGGCTACTCTTGGATACAAAACTCCCTTAGCAGTATTAACAGAGTAACCTCCCTTGTCAATACTACACCATGATCAACTTAGAAATGTATTGTTAATTTGGATTCTTTGTGCACAAGAATTTCAGCCGTGCAACATCTGATACATCCTGACAAAGAAATAAGTATTATGTCACTTTAATCATAAAATATCAGGGGGCATGGGTGGTTGTCTAAAATCCTGTAGACATTGGTTTGACTCCCAGATTGGTCTTAATGATGGTTCTGGGTTTGTCAGACCCATACCTATAATTGTGGGTTTCACCAGAGCCCATGGGGACTATACTAACTCTGTGATCCTCTGTTCCAGCCATCTACAAGCCTCTTCGCAGCTTTATCCAAGAGATCGAGAAGGCAATGGAGATGGAGAGCCCATCAAGGTAGGTAACCATGGCAACCTATGATACTGTATTCGACGTAATAAGCGCCCCGCTCTAATAAGTGCCCACGGCGATAATTGCTAACATATTGGCTAGTGAACAATCCCAATTAGCACCCCTTCTGATTGATCAATGTACACAAGACTTATTTATTTCGCGTATAATACGCACTCGTGTGTTAAATGCACCCTTAATTATGGGCAATTAAATTCTGGAAAAATATATCTGTCGTACATAAACATTTCAGGCTGTCAGCATAAACCACGAAATTTATGTTTCAACTCTGTTTTTTCCACCAAAATAATATTCTAATAAGACCCCGCTATTACTAACTTTGAGAGAGCCCTGGGCGCTTATTACGTCGAATACAGTATCTGGGATTCCAATTCTGACTCTGGACAGAAATTGTCCTTCAGGTATGACTTTATGTACAGGCATGTCATTATATCAGTGCAATAGTCTTGCATGCAACATTATTATATCCCCCGCCACGAAGTGGAAGGGGGATATAGGATAGTGTGCTGTCTGTCCGTCCTTCCGTCCATCCATCCGTCCCTCCATCTGTCATGTTTCTTTTCCTAGGCAGAACTGAAAAAACATGATATATATCTTAACCAAACAAAGCACATAGATAGGTCCAGTGGTGAACTGGTGCCTTTTGATAATTTAAAATTTTTTTAGAAATTTTTTTTCGAGTTTAAATGGCAACAACTTTGACTTAGACTGAAAATGGAGGTAGTGCTCCTTGCCTGAGCAGTTCTTGAAAACCATACAATATATCTTGCCTTGCACACAACCGGACACGTCATATTTGTGGGGGATAATGCGTTACTCATGCTTGTTAAACCTTGTATCACCACTTCATTCTTTTACATTGTTGTTTGCAATCCACCATAGTGTGAGTGTGTAACTGGTCGTGTTGCAGCCTGCAGGAGTTTGTGACAGACTTTGTACAGAATGCCTTCCTCGGCCAGGTCCATCTGAAGGTGTCCCAGAGCATCGATGCTGCCACAAGAGGTACGTCTATGGTTTAAAACAATCAACAAATGATACCCTATGGTGATATGTTATATGAATAACTGCCTGTGGAAAACACATTCTGAAAGAAAGTCACAGAAGTCTGGATATGTGTGGGGAATTTCATTGTACTTTTGGTGAGAACCATGTGAGGTGGGACGCTAACTGTGTAGGATATATTTTCAGCAAGGAGATTTATCAGTTTGGTGGCCAGTGGCCCATGGTCTTGGGTCAGATCACAATGCCAAGATGTTGTCTTTAAAGTAAGGTCAGGCTTTTGGGGGGATTTACAGATTTTTGTCCAAATTGTTCAGGTTGGTAAGTCGATTTTTAAAAAAAATAAAATCCCATTTAATTTTTTGGTTGATTTCCACTTGTGATTCATCAAAATAATTTGTGTTTTGAAATCTTTAAGACAAATTTTCATCAGGCTTTAATTGTAGTACTTTTAATGATTAATGTATATTGATAGTGGGATAAAAAACACTGCTTTTCATTTTTGTAAAGAATTTTCCCGTTTCAATTTTTATGAGTTTGTGGATTCTTGAACCAAGTTTGAAAAAATATCTGGTCTAAGGGCAACCAGCATCTCCTACTATGTCAGTGTCTCAGTGGTTCTAAGGTGTTGCACAGGTTTGTGTCCCTTGGCTGCCCCTTATGATCAGTGATCTGTCAAAACTTTTTGCGACCTGCAGTACTTTAAACTTTTCTCCAACATAAAGCTGGGATGCCATGAGATGACTGAAAGACTGTTTAAAGCAGTGGTTACCTCAGCTTATTCTTTCCCTCGCATTTACAGTTTCCATGTCTGTCCATCATCATCTTACAACATTATCCTATCTTGCATATCTATGCTTCTGTCTGTTTGGATATCACCCTGCTGGATGTCAGTTTGAAGTTTGACAAGACCTTGTTGACATGACTCGTTTTCTTTCAATATTGTCCCATTGTTAAAGTTTGGAGGGGGGAATGCTATTTTAATTCTTCATCAATAATCATTGAAATGATGATGGTACAATAAGGTCTTCCATGAATGACCCGATACAAGTCAGGGGTGTGGAAATATCAAAATGCTGAACTTGCCCCTGGACAAGTAGACAGTGAAAAATCACTTTCCAGAGACACAGTCTATGTGTTCATATTATTGACCTAAAATTGTGTTTTTATCGTTTTTATTTTTCACTGCCTGCAATATTTCAGTAACGCATTGATCAATTTTTAGTCCGTAATGAAAAGAATAAATACGTTTTGAGCAGCCAGTGTGTCCTGCCCTGACTTCTTACAAGATGTTGTGCAATTGGCTACATGGTATTGAATCTACCAATCAGAGAGCGTATCTAAGGTGTGATCGAAACAGAACAAGGAAGTAAATGGTACTGCTGTCAGTTGGATTGGTCATACTCATGATATGTACACTCTTCAAAGCTATATTTAGTACAAATATGTAATTTTCATGATAAATATTGACATTTTAAAGTTGTCCCTGATATTTTTGTTTGTCCAGCGATCTCACGTAACGAGTTAGGCAAGTCAGGCATTTATATCCCACATCCCTGTAAATCCAGCCATTATTGCAGAAAATGGTTATCAGGGTTCCCATTGGTCAGGTGCTTTAGAGGTCAGGGGTGGGGGCAGAGAATTGTAGATTTTCATTGTAGATTTGATATGATTAAATCAGATCAGATCCCAAGCAACCTGTGCTTGTTTTGAGAAACTCGTGACTTGGCTGACTGCTTGTCATCATCCTCCGACAGTGTAAATATTTGCTCATCAGTGATTTCAATCAAACTTATGAAGACAGCCAAATGGCCTGTCCCACTTCCTCCTGTAATAATTGACCGACTCTGTGGTGTAGTGGATAGACCGCCTCCCCAGAGAGCAGAAGGTCGTTGTTTTAATTTCCGGCCATGTTAAATGAAAAGATGTTAAAAAAGGGCACTTCTTGTTACCCTACCTGGTGCTCCTCATTAAGAGGTTAAAACAAGGACTGGTCGGCTCGGATTCAGTATGCTGTGTCAGAGTGGGATATCAATGTTAAACTGTGTCATAGTATCTCTGTGGAATAGTACAAGGACACACACACACTTGCATACATAATGTAACTGCAATAATCTTGAACGTGACAACGTTAAACCCCATTTCACCTCACCTCACCCTTAAATTATTCAGATATGGTGGTCAAAACGGGCCCCTATCCGACCTCACCCTTTAGCATGTTAAGTGGTACCTTGTTGGAATCCTGGTAATTCAACAGAGTTAGATGTACAAGCAAGTCTGGAACTAAATACCAGGGCCCCGTTCCACTAAGTGATCTTTGCTCTACAACAACTGTTAATGTGACCCTGAAGATCGGGGTTAGAATTGATCTTCAGCAACATATGCTTGTCGTAAGAGGCGAATAACAGGATCGGTGGTCAGACTTGGTTGATGCATGTCATCGTATCCCAATTGCGTTGATCGATCTTTTTGGTGTACATGGTCATGTTTCAATAGTAGATTGCTGCTTAAGATGTCAGTCACTGGATTGTCTAGTCCAGACTCGATTATTTAAAGACCACTGTCTTATAGCTGGAATATTGCTGAGTGCGGCATTAAACAACAAACAAACAAAATGTTGTATGAGAGTTACAATTGTCTGAGCACTTCGTTGAACGGAGACCCAGGAGAAACATTGTATTGTCTTTGGAATACTTGTTATGTATGTATAATGTCATGACTAAGCTATCAGCATCATCATCATCATCGAAGGTCTGATCGTGTTGCCGACTTTCTCATTACACTCAGTCATTGAGGAGGAGGATGGTCACAAGTGTAAGTGATGGTTGTCATGGAAACCACACCAGTTGGTTACTGTAGTAACCAGTAACTGGCACATCACCTCTACCACAGCCCTGTTCGTGTCATGTCTTGTATCGACGGCCTGTATTGTGATGTCATCAGCTTGCCTTTCATGTCTCTTCATTTCTCGACTTATTGTGTCTCATTTTCTGTCAGTTCCCTTGTAATGGATGTGATATGTTGTTCAATTTCCTTGTTTATGATGACATCTGTATTTCAGGAGCCTGAAAAATATATATTGGAAGTTTTTAGATTGCTATTGTCATGATTACTGTTTATGAATTATACATGTTATATCGCCTTTGTTTTTTGGCTTTGCTTACACACCTTTCTAAATTTTTTTTTGGTTTTGCGTTGGATAACTGGGGGTATTCTGGGGCAGAATAGGTTCTCAGTGTCACATGCTTGACTTAAGACCTGACCTGTGAGAATTGGTCTTCAGCAACCATGCTTGTCATAAGAGGCGACTATACGTGTCGTAAGAGGCGGGTCTGATGGACAGACTCGCTGACTCGGTTGGTACATGTTATCATACCCTAACTGCATAGATCGATGCTCATGATGTCAATCACTGGATTGTCTGGTCCAGACTCAACTATTTACAGACCCCCATCATTTCTGAGTGCGGCATTAAACAACAAACAAAGAAAACTTAAGAGTTGACTAAAACAGCGATTTATTGCTGTTGAATTATTACCAGCCTGATTGCACCATCCTGGTCTCGGATCACATCATACACCATTTGTATCTTTTTATCGGAAATTGCAATTATATGATGCTGTGATATTGAGGGAATAACTTATTGCAATGAATGTTCCCTCACTCTATTAAAAACTCATTTACATCGGTAATGTAAGGGGCACAGAACAGAATGCATTCACTTGACATTGGTTTGATTTCCACCTACAATTAAAGTGTGAAGCCAGATGTAATATTGTTTGGAGATGTGTAACCCAAAATGTGAAGTCAGACATAATATTGGTTTGAAATAGTTCAGCCCAAAATGTGAAGCCAAACATTGTTTTTACCCGATTTTTCAACCCAAAATGTGAAGCGGGGCATAATATTACTGTGAGATTGATAGCGTGTCAATGGTTGACCTCGTCCTGTCTCAATTATTTACAGACCACTGTCACACAGTTAGACAACCAAACAAACAGACAACTTCAGAAATTGACAAGAAATGTTTGACATTTGTGGGGGGTGTTTTTCTAAGAGATATTGATGTACATGTATTCAGTATTGTAGTCATAGAAGTGTTCTTTCCTCCGAAGATTCCCACTTGATGTCACTTCATTGTAATGATTGTAGAAGAATTCACAATCCTTATTTTCATTCTAGACATTCCTGTCGGTGCATGTTTTATTTGTCACCTTCTGAGTTTTATTCAAAATATTTGTACATTGTATCCAATAGTTGAGACTGCATTACCTTCAAATGCCTGGCTTAACTCTCGGCTTGCTGATAATGGCACCTCCTTTGAAAGCTTGACAAATCCATGAGATATCTATGAATGCAATCTTTCATTCTGATTCTTGATGCTGTATTACCTAAATATTGTCTGTGCAACATGACACTCTTGCACCTTTTTGTTCATGACCATGTTCTATGCACAATGATGTATTGTAATAGTGTAATGTGTATTACAGTACCCCTTTGGGAAGCTAGGGTTAACTCTGATCCCCAGCAACCCTGTCGTAAGAGGCGACCAGTGGATCGGGTGGTCAGGCTGGGTGACTTGGTTGAAAGCGTGATGGCGCGGATCGTTGCTCGCAATATCATTACTGGATTGTCTGGTCCAGGCTCGCTTATTTATAGGCTGCCGTCATATAGTTGGAATATTGCAGAGTGCGACATTAAACAAAGAAACTATTGTAACCATTGTAACATGAATTTGTAGCCTAGTGGTTAAAGCATTGCTTGTTATGCTGAAGGCCCGGGTTCCATTCCTCACATGGGTGCAATGTATGAAGCTCAATTCTGGTGTTCCCCGCCATGATATTGCTGGAATATTGCTAAAAGTGGTGTAAAGCCATACTCACTCAAAACACCATCATCATACATCTAAGTCACACATATTCATGATAATGTTGAGGATATGGTTCTGGATTGGTTATAAAGAACCAAAGGTTTTAAATGTAGTAATTGTATATCAATTGTATTTGTCACTATAGGTATGTTTATACTGAAGGGAAAATATTGACCCATAAAGATCTGGGGTAGAATAGGTCTTCAGCAACCCATGCTTGCCATAAAAGGCAACTATGCTTGTCGTAAGAGGCAACTAACGGGAGCGGGTGGTCAGATTTGCTGACCTGGTTGATGCATGTCATCATATCCCAATTGAGTGGATCAATGTTCATGATGTCAATCACTGGGTTATCTGGTCCAGACTTGATTATTTACAGACCAACATCATATAGCTGGAATATTGCTGAGTTTGGCATTAAATAACAAACAAACAAACACACAAAAGCATATGTACAAAGATGTCCGATTGTCTCAGAATGCGCAGCAATTGGCAATGCAGAGTTGAGTCTTGTAGGCATGCAAGAAACTTGTAATCAGTGTTTCCAATCCAGGTTTGGCCTGATTCTGTTGTTAGGTTTGTCAACAACATTAACCGGTCCACGAGGGTTTCACCAAAGTCTAAGAATTCCAGGCTATCCTCCCACATTAAGTTTCCACAATGTGGTGTAACTAAAAGCCTGTTCAAAGTGCATGTGCATTGGTTTGTCTGGTCCTGATCTGATTACATAAAAAAAAATGGCATGACAGTAATTGGTGTTAATGGTGTATTCCCTCAGTACTAATAACTATATGACATTGGTGCTATCTCGTGTTCATGGTATATAAGGTTCAATGCATGTGTTCACTCAATAGAAACACGATGGCCATATTTGGCATGATGACACCTGTGTCATGTGATACTGATGTGTCAAGCATATAGAATGGATATTTCACTTCCAGGTTTTGATGCTTTGCGGAATGTCATTGATGATAAGATTAGACGGGAACTTGGTGTGCCTCGCCCACTTCTACAGGTAATATGCTCTTAACAAATAACAAAAATCAAATTCCAGATTTTAAAAAAAGCAAGGTGACCAAGTTATTTTCCTGTTTTTACCGCTTTTTTATGAAATGGTCATGTTTCAAGCAGTGAATGAAAGTTTACAACCAGAGACACTTAAATAACAGTGAGTTATTCAAACAATGAAAGTGTTAAAAGTACATTAAAAGATACATGATGCATGGGCATGAATGGCATGAATGTATCCAACATGGCAGCAACACAGGAAACATGGTCAAGGAAAGATAAATCTTAATTAAGGAGAAAAATCTAAAATGCGGATTGTTAGGAATGGTAGAAGTCAGAACTTTGAAAAAAAATCTATAACCTGCAACATCTTAAATGACCCGCAGGCCAATGAGAACATTTCTATATTTTCTTTATTGTTTGGTTTTTGTAATTACTGCTACCTCTGTGTTGATTTTGTAATGAATCTCAAATTGGTCAAATGACCATGTTGAGATGTAAGCATAGTAAGATTACAACCAGATGACTTAACATACCAACTCTGTATGTCTGTAATGTTAACTTGTAATGCATTTGTCATACAGTCACAAAGATATGTGTAATATGCTTCAACCTTGAGAAATAAATTTGTTTGAATTTGTCATTTACAAGCTGACATGTCTAAACAACATCTGTACTTGCTCTATAAAAAATGACTAAATAATCTACTACCGGTAGGTTACATGTATCACAGAGACTTATTTTCGGTGAAGTTTGTTTGTGTGACAATATCATATCTGCCTTACAACTGCCAGTGGTCTCAAAATGTGAACAAAGTCTGTGTTGACATGACAAGCACATGATGTCTTTAGAAACAGTGACGTCATGATCTCCTTGCAGGACGGACGACCTTATGGGTTTTTACAAGATGGCAACTGGCCAGTTTGATATCTGAGTTATATTACGAGTAATGAAACTATTTTTTACAATTAATTTGGACTTGCATGTCATACTCATACCTCAGTACTGTGGGTACCCGACATGGGTACAATGTGTGAAGCCCATTTCTGGTGTCCCCCCACGGTGATATTGCTGGAATATTGCTAAAGGCGCGTAAAACCATACTCACTCACTCCTCTCTACTCCAGAGCACCGTGACAGTGGACCGCAACATCCAGGACCTGCAGGAGCTGATGCATGATCTGCCGGACTATGCAGACCAGTTCCTCAACATGATCTGCAACGTCCTCCGCGACTACCGCGACAAGTGCCACTCCGCGTACCGAGGTAAACTTAACTACTCACTTCTTGAAGACAAGGCTGGAATGAGTCTGTAAGACACTACCATACCAATATAAAGTACACTCCATTCTGTATTGTATACATTTTGACACATATTGGGTCACAATATGTTTTTAATTATATGCACATCACATGATCTACAGAATGATAGTCATGTATATTTTGGTTACGTATTTCATTGTTCAGCGTGTTTTTTAAAATTTGAAATAACATGAGCATTTGACATCAAAAACTTTTGAAAAGTTTATGACAAATCTAAATAATTTTGTATTGGTAAAAAATTGTTCCATATATCATGTGTATGGTAAAGAGAATGTTGACAGACAATAAAAGGTACAATAAAGAAGATGAAAGCGTGAACGTGGACACTTCATAACATCCTGTGCCACCAATACAAGCTACTGTACATTACTGGCTATAACAATAATCCTCTCTCCCAAGGAACCTGTGTGTTAAGACCTGTATAAGGCTGACATGTCATATAACACAGCCTATATTTGGCAAATTTTGTTGATGGTATGGTATAACTGATGGTTTTGTATAAATGATGGTATAGTATAACTGATGGTATGGTATAACTGATGATTTGGTATAACTGATAGTATGGTATAACTGATGGTTTGGTATAACTGATGATTTGGTATAACTGATGGTATTGGTTAGTTGATGGTATGGTATAACTGATGGTATGGTATAACTGATGGTTTGGTATAACTAATGGTTTAGTATAACTGATGGTTTGTTATTACTGATGGTATGGTATAACTGATGGTTTGGTATAACTGATGGTATGGTATAACTGATGGTTTGGTATTACTGATGGTATGATGGATGGTATGGAAAACTGATGGTATTGCATAAGTGATGATATGGTATGACTGATGGTATTGCATAAGTGATAGTATTGTATAACTGATGGTTTTTGCATAACTGATGGTTTGGTATAACTCATCGTAAGGTACAACTGATGGTTTGGTATTACTGATGGTATGGTATTACTGATGGTATGGTATGACTGATGGCATTGCATAAGTGGTAGTATGGTATAACTGATGGTATGGTATAACTGATGGTATTGTATAACTGATGGCATGGCATAACTGATGGTTTGGTATAACTGATCGTATGGTACAACTGTTGGTTTGGTATTACTGATGGTATAATGGATGGCATGGTACAACTGATGGTATAACTGATGGTATTGTATAACAAATGTTGTAGTATAACTGATAGATGGTATGGAAAACCATGGTATAGTGTATAATGGTATTAATGATGGTATTCTATAACGGATGGTGTGGTATGATGGATGGTGTTGTATAACGGATGGTGTTGTATAACGGATGGTGTGGTATAATGGATGGTATGGTATACCTGCAGATATTGTCCAGCATGGATCTGATGAGAAGCGAGTGATCAGTGCCCAGTGGGCAAAGGATGAAGACATCAGCCGCTTCCTGAGGTGAGACTTTACGGTATCTCCTGACTCTCACTGTGATGTTGCTGCCCTTTGCTATTTTCCATGGTTGTCTCATTGATCAATACAGCATTTCTGCAGAAACTCATCCTGTGGGGATTCCGGGGCACTGAAGGTCCTCCATATCTATAATTGTGTCAGGTTTTGTCCACCACTGGTTTTCAGATCCAGACAATATTATGTAAAGATTATTGTGATATAGCTGTAATATTGCTGACTGACTTTTTAATTGTTAACTTACTGGCATTTTGCTGTCATGCATCTGAGACTGACTCCCTCCACACCAGGTCTCTGCCAAGCTGGAGGACTCTTCAGCCTGGGGAGGGGCAGGAGCTGGACCGGACGATGTGCTCGGAGGAGGAGATGCGCGCTCTCAACTCAAAGGAGGCGGTCATCTTGATACGGAACCTGTCCTCGGATGAGACCTTGATTCCTCAGCAGGAGATCATTACTGATGTCACTCAGATGAGGACTGTGGCCAATGTACATGAGAGTCTGGTGAGTTGGTGTCTGGGAGGAGATATGTTGGGTTGTTCCCAAGCAGGAGATCATTACTGATGCCACTCAGATGAGGACTGTGGCCAATGTACATGAGAGTCTGGTGAGTTGGTGTCTTGGAGGAGATATGCTAGTGTTGTTCCCAAGCAGGAGATCATTACTGATGCCACTTCAGCGGTAGAAACATTTTTAGTCCACTTGTCCATATAATGACAACATAGAGCAAAACCCTTAAACATGTTAAAAATGGCAAAAATCTACTAGTCCTTGTGATACTTTAACTATAACTATTGAGCAGTTTGGCAGGGACTTCTAATGCTGCACTCAGTTCTGGACAGTTCTGGAGAGTTGGAATGCTGCTTATTGATTATTGCTCACTGAGGAAACTTACAGCATCATCAAACTTTGACAAGGCCCCATTGTCTGTGTTAGAGGTTTCCAAGTATTCCAATATCATAGACAGAGTGGACATGTTGCCATCTTGTGATCAGTGCTTTCTGTTTATCAGGAATGGTTCGCTGGTCGTCTTCAGCAGTTCACAGACAGTTTGTCTGGTAGGTCCACCAGCAACCTCGGACCTCCCTCCACTAATCCAGCTGTAAGTAAAACTAGAACACTTTTTTTATATGTTAACACTAATTAATGTTGTGTTAATGTTGATCAATATGTTGGTGTTGCTGATATCTCAATATAGACCTGATTCAAAATGGATTCAGCACTATTTTCTTTTTGTATAAAGTCAGCAGAAGCACTCACACTATTACACATATTTTTTATATACAGACAGATGTGTTTATGTATTTCTATGGTGTAGAGACAGAGAAACAGTCCATTAAAAACATGAATAGGAACTATGTTCAATGAATTTTGTATTCTACCCTCATGAAATCTGGGTTAGAATTGGTCTTTAGCAACCCATGCTTGTCATAAAAAGCGATTGACATTATGAGCATCGAACTTGGCAATGGGGTAACATGGACATTGGGATACGATGACATGCATCAACCAGGTCACTGTTTCTTGTCTGTAAGAAATCATTATTTAATCATAGTGTTCTCTCTTTACTTTTTCAGGACATTCCACCAGTATCAGAGAAAACATTAGCGTGAGTACTCTCCAAATGAAATAATGATATTCCTAAATTACTTTGTTCGTTATATTTTCATTTAACATGTCGAAATAATATACAAAATCGCCGCCCATGTGCTCTTCCTCAAGTGAGTAGATTGTTTGGATCACTTGATCAGTTCCAGATAAGCTGCCTATTTGTATAAAATACACACAAAAGTCACTGCAACCCAATTGATAATGAGCTTCTTGCGTACGAACATGCATGGAAAAATATAAAAACAGTAGTATAACGACACACTGTTTGCTGTACAAGGTGACTGGGTTGACTTCATGTCATCATAGACCGACGTGTGTGTCAAGGGCCGCCTGAAAGAGGGTAAATGCATTTTGACATGAAAACATCTGAACAGTCCCAGTGGAGATTATGGGCTAGAATAGCCTCTCTGTACCTTTGCTTGTCCTAGTAGGTGAATGAATGGATCAGGCTACCAGTAAGAGACTTGGCTGATTGCGTGTCCTTGTGTCATCGTACACCGACGGCATAGGATGTGGCTCATGATATCAACCCCTGGTTTGTCTGGCGCTGACTTAAGTACTGACTATGGTCAGAATGTAGCTGACTATCACTAAAGAAGAATTCATTCTCTCATGTCCCTCCATCCTCACGTCGTGGGCATCAAGATGTATTGAAACAGTGTCTTGCTGTCTCTAGTTAGTTGGATGTGATCAGACTGAGAGGTTTGCCACACTGAGCAATATTCCAGCTATGTGATGGCTGCCTGTAAATAATTGAGTCTGGGCCATGCATTCCAGTGATTGATATTGTTAGCAACGATCCACAGTGTCAACCAAGCCACTGAATCTGACCACCTGATACATGTAGTCGCCTCTAACAACCAGGGGGCGCGGGTGGCCCAGTCGTCTAAGGCGCTGCGATTCGCTGTGCAGAGTTGCGTCCCTTGGGCACGCCAGAAACCTATGATTGTGGGTTCGAATCCCGGTTCGCCCCAATTATGTTTCTAGGTTTGTCAGCACCATACCCGTGCTCGTGGGTTTCACCGAAGTGGTAAACGTCTGAGACCTGCATCACTTTGGGCTTTCCTCCCACATTAAGCTGACACGCCGTGATATAACTGGAATACTGTTAAAAGCGGCGTTAAACCCAACTCACTCACTCACTCACTCACTCAGCATATATATAGGCTGCTGGGGATGATTTCTAACGCAAAATCCACCACTTGACTCAGAATGAGAAGTGCCCTTAACACCATTTACATATTTTTAATTTTGATGTGTTTATGTCTGTATGGCTTCTAGTAGGGCTGGAATGGGTAACTAAACTCGGGTACCCGGGTCGGGTGGGTACTGAGTAGGACCCGGGTACCCACAGGACTACCCGGACCCGTGGTTAGTCATGTGATATATTGTTTAATTATCGAGAACTCTATGGTAACACAAGTCAATAATGTTCTCATTTCTTTCTGACTCACATTCCTTCAGATTTTTCATATGGTTGAATAAAGATATAACTTATTTCAACTTCAGTGTATGAATGACTAGATTGTTTAATACATGTATCTAAATACGTTTTGCCAGGGCTATGCTAAAAATCTTCCCAATTAGACATTTTGAGACATCTCCTGAGACCCACAGTGGGTATCCGGGTAGGGTCGGGCAATAGGGAGGTGGGTACCCAGGTAGTCAATTTGGACTCGTCCCAGCCCTAGCTTCTAGTTATTGGGTTTGATGTGTTTATGCATTTGTATTTTGTAGAGCCATGAACACACTTGTCCAGGATTTCCGCGACCTGGCCGAGATATGTATGTTGCTGTTGCACCTGGAGGTCAGAGTTCACTGCTTCTACTACCTGCTGCCGGTAGCTAAACAGGTAAAGACTTGGCTAGCGCTTACAAAAGAAAAAGAATTGATTCTCAGGCAATTACTTTTGAAAATATAGTGTGGGCAGGCAGTGTCTTTTTTTTTCGTTGTTCAAACTAGTATGTAAACAAACAACATTTGTGTAACCAAACAAACAATTGTGTACAATGAGCCTGGGAAAGGGCCTCTCGACAAATGTATTCCTTGATTAGTAAAATACTGGAATTCAGTATTTGACTACCATTGGACTTTTTGAGGATTCTTTTTTTTTGGAAATACAACGAACCGTACAGCAAACTTTATGATGATGCAAGCGGTGCCTGAGAACCAAGACTATTATTGTTATTAGCCAAGTTTGTGGTGCTTTGCAGGTTATACACTGGAAGTAACAGTTACCCTGATTGTGTTTCGAGTTCCTGAAAGGAGGTGCATTGTGTTAAGATTTAAAGGAACAAGATATCTTGATATCATCAACCAATTAATGTACAGCAGACATTTAAAAATACACAATCAGAATCATGATAATGCATTTGTATTTTTTCCCCTTTCAGTCGAACTATGCAGGGCCGATTGATGACCTTGACCCTGATTCGAATGTCCTAAAGCTGAACAAGGACCTGACCAGCATGGAGGAGGTCCTGGCACACAGTCTGCAGCCCAAGAAGTTCAAGTCAGTACACCAAACTACCCGTGAAGACCCGGGGTAGAACAGGTCTTCAGCAACCCGGGTTGCCTTAAAAGGCGACTGTGCTTGTCGTAAGAAGCGATTAATGGAATCGGATGGGCAGGCTCGCTGACTTGGTTGATGCATGTCATTGTATTCCAATTGTGAGGATTGATGCTCATGGTGTCAGTCACTGGCTTGTCTGGTCCAGACTCGATTATTCACAGACCGCCGTCATATAGCTGGAAATATACATAGTGCATTAAACAACAAACAACAAACAAAAAACAGTACATCACACACTGAATGCCCCCTGGTGTCAGTTGTTCTTTTGAAAGGGGAGATAACTTTATATTCCCCACTGTTTGCATGTAAGTCATATAAAGGAGAGAAGAGAACACTGAATGTATATTCCTGACAGGTACATCTTCGAGAGTCTGGGCTACCTTGTATCCTCCATCCTCATCAACAGTGTCCATTTCCTGAAGAAAATCAACGAGAATGGTATCAAGAAAATGTGAGTGTTGGTGTGATAGAACTGCAATACTGCTGACAGAAAACATTTACTCACTCGTTAATCCTTGTTCAGTCAATTATCCTGTAGGAAATACTCATGACTAATAACTAAGTTTTGTGAAGTTCTGCTTAAGAGAATGTTGTCACTAGCTCTGTGCTCTGGCTTCAGGTGCCGCAACATCCTGGCCATCCAGCAGAATCTGACCAACATCACGTTGACCCGGGAGTCGGACCTGGACCGGGCCCGGCTGTTCTATGAGCTGCTCTACCTCACCCCAGACGTAAGTAGAAATGCACCATGACTACTACTACTACTACGATGACGATGATGAATATTTCTGCTACCCAGTATTAGTACTTCTACTGCTACTATGACGAAGCGGAGGTTTTTTGTTAATATGTCATCAAATGAAACTATGGGCCTAGTAGACAAAGCTCTCACAGAGCGGTATGTGTCTGAGTGAAAGAGCTGATTTTGTATTAGATTAGGTACATATAATATGCATTGCAGAGGAAACATGAGAAACATTTTCAAGGTATTCACGTGTGATTCGATAATGAATGTCATAATTTCCCTCACAAGATCAATTTTTTAAATCAAAATTAATATAAATTAAATTAATAATTTCACTATTAGGCAGAGTTGCATCCCTTTAACAGTCTGTGCCCAAAACGTTTTAGTCAAGGAGCCCAAACCCTTGAAGATCCGGGTTAGAATTGGTCTCCAGCAACCCAAGCTTGTTGTAAGAGACGACTAATGGGATCAGGTGATCAACCTTTGACTTTGTTGATGCCTGTGACCATATCCCACTTGCGCAGATCGATCCTCTGATAATACATGAGGAACAAATGTCTCTAAGTCTATTCTTTGTCTCCAGGAAATTTTGACCTCAAGCAGGGTGTTGGGGTAGCCTAGTGGTTAAAGCGTTGGCTCGTCACACTGAAAGAGACCCCGGGTTCAATGCCCCACATGGGTGCAACGTGTGAAGCCCATTGTCCAGTGTCCCCCACCATGATATTGCTGGAATATTGTTAAAAGCAGCATAAAAGTAGGTTTGTCACAAATGTTTTGTTCTTCTGTGTCCAGGACATCTTGAACTCTGTGGCAGAGAAAGGGCCACAGTTCACGGGCACGGAGTACACCCAGCTCATCCAGCTGTACCACCGTAGCCACCCCGGCATCAAGATGGCGGTGCAGGACGGACACATGCAGAGGCTGCTGCAGATCATTGAGAAGGGACAGAACGAGACTATCAGCACCTGAACGAGACCATCAGCACCTGAATGAGACCATCAGCACCAGAACAAGACCATCAGACCCTGAACTAGGACTATCAGACCCTGAACTCACAGTCCTGGGCACTACATCAACAATGTTGCACATTGTTATATCAGTGTTCCTGAAAATCATTGTACACTTCATGAACAATGTTGCACATCACTAGTGTTAAACAGCTACAATATTGCAGCTGTTTCACCACCAGAACAATCAAGATGATGTACAATGTTGCAGCTGTAGAACATCAGAACAACCAAGTTGATGTACAATGTTGCAAATACAGTGTTCATCAAAATGATTAAAAATAACATTTATCAGGCTTAGCACATGCTTGACACAACTTTAGGTAAATGGGGAGAGAATTCAGTCCTGAAGGCTACAATGAACAACCCCTCCGTAGCTTGCTCTAATCATTCAGTGTTATGAAGTTACATCACTTGAGTACTTGTATGTTAGGGTGAATGTGGGCATGTCTTCATCTTGCCAGAGTTTTATCTGACAAATGGCATCCGTTGGTCACAATCCTCTGAGATACCTGCCCCCCTATGTGGTGCTTGACAAAATCATTAATGTATTGACTTGTATTGAATGAAAGTATGGAAGGAATTCAATGAAAAGTTGTTTCTTTGTTTGTTGTTCCCACACTTCCAAATATTCCAGCTATATGTAAATCATCGAGTCTGGACCAGACAGTCCAGTGATTGATATTTTGAGACTGGGTGGATTATTGTGTACATTATCAATACCTTGGTAGCCTGTCTGTTGGTTGTTTTACATCGAACTCAGCAATATTCCAGCTATATGATGGTAGTTTGTAAAGAATCAAGTCTGGACCAGACAATCCAGTGATTGACATCATGAGCAATGGTCCATAGCATTAGGGTATGATGACACATCATCAAGCAAGTCAGTGAGCCGGACCACCTGATCCATTTGGTCGACTATTATGACAAACATTGGTTGCTGGGGACCTATTCTATCCCGGAATCCCTAAGCAACAAAACAATGTAATACCAAACAAGCCTCTATGCATGTTTGAGCTTATCGGTGATACTGTAGATACATGCATGTATGCTATGACGTATAATATTTGGCTTGTTTGGGTGCTATTCATGATCACCACTTGCCCGGAATGAGCTGTGGCTAAATTTTGAAGATGACCCATGGTGTCTACCACTGTTATCCCTACTGTTCAGCTAATATTAATATTTCAAGTGTTTAAATATTCGAGGCATTAAGAATAAGGATGTATCCACATATGTTTTATGTAATTATATTTTTTAAGAACAAAGACAACCTTGACCTGTTATTTTGGTGTTACAATGTCAGTTGGAGACTTGTCATGTTCTAATTCCTTGCGATAGTATAGATGCAGTGTGGATGCTCTAGAAGGGAGAAGTGCAATATATGTGAAGCATCTTGAATCATTTTCCATAATTGTGTTAATGAAGTTTGAAAGATGTATATTTTGTCTAGTCAAACCATTTTTTTCCAAGAGAATCTGAGTTAAAATGAGTAATTAACAGTGCTTCACATCAGCTTGTGATCAGTACCTAGATAGGCAGTTCTTTAAGTAGCGCTGATTGTGACAAGCGTTCAATGTACCACTGTATGTCATAACGTGTGACCACGGCTTTCAGAAACACTGTCACCAGTGCTTTAAGTACCACTGATTGTACACAGTGCACCACCAACAGTTCCTATAGCTGTAAGCACTGCTTTGATTTACATTGCCTTAACTAGCAGTCATCTCCTTTGCTGTGAAGTGCTCATGCAGCATTGCTGCTACAGGTAGTAGTGTGCATGATAACATACTCATGCTTTCTTTTGTTACAAGGGTCATGCATGTTGTGATGAATGTTATTAATGTAAAACTATTATATTAAGAATTTTGTAAATAAATGTTTATTTTGTTGTACATATGTAATAGCTATGTATGATGCTTTCTACACAAACTGATACTGCCACATTAAACATAATATCAGGAACCATCTGTGTTGAAGTATTAAGTATATACGTGTGTGCCAGGGCCTTCCTGTAAGAAGATTTAAGCATCTTGACAAGAGAGCTCCTGAACAGACTCAGAGGGGATTCTCCGCTAGAAAAGATCCACAGTAACTTGGCATGTCCAAGGATTAAATGGACCAGACTTGGTGACTTGGTTGATTGGTATCATAGTGTCATCTTACATCAACAGCATGAGATGTTGATCCTGTCAATCCAGACACTATAATTTAGAGGCTGCCTCCATACAGGTGGAATATTGCTGACTATGGCCTTCAACAAACCCAACATCTGGGCTCTACAATTCCACAATGGAGATTCCTCAAACCAAAGTTCTCTTTGGGATTCTGGTCCATGTTTCAGGAAGTAACAGCTGCCACTGTCCTAAATATTACTTTAAAGGGCAAGTTCACACGGAAATGAACCTATTTTTCTTGTACTTTTTCCACATTAGAAGTGTTAACCTAGAAGTGTCATAGACAAAAATATAAAAATATCATAATTAATCAACATATTTTTCACATTTACCAAGTGTTCTATTTCCAGAACAAAAACACCATGGCTTATGCCCCTTGCAATATGACGTCATTGGTGCCAATTGATAAACATTATGACGTCATCATGCTTTGTTAGAGCCGCTTCACGTGGTGTAGGTACATGTGTGTGATTCTTGCGTCTCAGATGCCAGCCAGCATAGTGTTATGCTGAGTCACCATTGCGCCGGAGTGTGTCGTAGGCCATGTTGTTTTACCGCAAACTGGTACTTGATATCTTTTGCGTTGAGAATAGACAGGGACCCAGTTGAATTGGCACCAATTACGTCATAATCTAAGGGGGATAACTCAGGCCTGTTTAGCTCGAAAAACGAAGGACTCATAACGGCATATCATTTTCACATTATTGTGAGCTTCCTACTTTCATTGTGAAACAATGAGTTTATATTTTCAAACACAGATACTAACTAATTCTAAAATTGCGTTTTGTTTAGAAAAAGAAAGAAAGTAACTTTTGCGTGTACACTTCCCCTTTAACCATCGAGAGTTACCACATACCCTTAGCTGGGCACGGATGGCCCAGTTGTCTAAGGCGCCGCGATTCGCTGTGCAGAGTTGCTTCCCTTGAGCATGCCAGAAACCTATGATTGTGGGTTCGAATCCCAGTTCGCCTCGATTATGTTTCTAGGTTTGTCAGCACCATACCCGTGGGTTTCACCGAAGTGGTAAACGTCTGAGACCTGCATCATTTCGGGCTTTCCTCCCACATTAAGCTGACACGTGATGTAACTTGAATACTGTTAAAAGAGGCGTTAAACCCAAATCACTCACTCACATACCCTTAGCATAATAGATGAAACTTGCCCTGGTGGAAGAATATACCACCAGTACACATAATTTTGTGATGGCCGACTTGAATGAGGATGAGTTGTTGCAATCTATAGCTGGTGTGCCATGACTCTGCCGTTGGGCCTTTGCTCATGCTTTCAACCACTGGTTTACAATGTCTCATGGCTGACGTGATATTGCTGAAGGTTCCATACATATTCCATACACAGCATGGATCATACCTGCATTTTAGCCATTAGACCAACGATTATACTTTTCTAGCTGGAAAACGCATATTTAAAACCATATTGTGTATGCCCACAAGAGGAAGAGACCTCAACTGCCCCCTTTCCTCTTGTACAGACATACTGTTACACATGACTGGGTTATCCCAGTTCCCATGACAACATCTAAACAGTATGGACTTACCTGTAACCTGTTCTAACTCCCATGTTGTAGTGGATAGAGCGAAGTGGATAGGCAAAGGATTTAACTTGAAACGTGACTTTCGGAGTCCGTTAACTCCCTTGCCTCGGGAAGATGGACATTCTGATTTGTAGGGTGAATTCAGACATGTGTTTTTGAAATTTGTGTTACTTGGTATTCGGGATTCAGAGGTGAGCCAGTGATACTCAGAGTGAAAAATTTAATGGTATTCGGGATTCATGGGCGACAGGGTTGGCAAACTGCGACTTTCAGCAACAAACAAACAAATTTTACATCAGTATATTGTTCTCTCCTAGGTGATCACAACCATGTTGTGGTCCTGCTCGGTGATACGCTAATCTATCAATCGCCGGGCGTCTTCAGATTACCCTAAACTATCTGGAACTACGCACCGCAGTTAATGATAAATTAGCATGATAACAGGACCCTCAGCGTAAAGACAACACACAAACTATTCATCCAATACTCGGATATCTGCGAATTTCAACATGTGGTGTTTCCGTGAGGTTCAAATAACGAATAACGCGTTACAGAAATAATTGCCCCATTGTCTAAACCTGCGAAGAACTTATATTACGTATCCTGCTCGTGCACAGCCGGTCGTTACAGCACGTGGCCTCGACTTTCAAGTCGTTTCTTTCCAGCTGGAGATTATGCTGGCACGCAATAGGCTGTTACGAAAGGTCACTTTCTGCCCTTTTGTTGTGAGACCCACAGGCAAATATCGAGCCATCTTCTAGGACTGCTTATAGCAAGAGAAACGCGAAAGTGGGCGGGTACTGGACTCGTCGTTCTCTAAAGCAGCTATGGGGAAAAATGTTTTACACTAAACGCCCCTGGCGTCCATCAAATGTTACATGTACGGCTAACTCTGCAACAACACGTTGTCTACACAGTCAGCGACGACACACACAACGGCAGATCTAAAGGGTCGAGAATTTTTAACATTTAAGCTTTACCTACTGTGTCAAATACTCAACCTTGTAACAGTTGAAAAGCTTTTTAAACACTATTTCCTTCCTCAAATATTTACATACTCTAAGTGGATTTGAAAAGTTTCTATTCTGGGTGCATTCTGAATGTCTCGAGAACAATTCGTGTTGTGAGAGAATTGTTGCTAGTTGTGGTATGGGTTTGGTTGTTTTCCAATGAAGTTTGCAGATTTTATTCACCCAGTGTGATGTTGGACTTAGGCTGGCGGCAACATAAGCTGCATGGCACCTGTCACGGTGCAGCAAGAATGGTGTGAAAACGTCACCGGGACTAGATCTATCCCGGGTTAGCGTGGGCAATGCAACATTATCTATTGTCGATAACTAAAGACAAACCCATATCACACTGTGACGCCAATAACAATGTAATGGTTGACAAGAATTCGTACCTGTCAAAAAACAGACATCGCTTTTCTGTATCTGTGTACACTACGCTGTCTGTACCTTGTCCTTTAACAGGTCATGTACCATGTCGCGCACATGGCCCTGAACAATGTCCTAGTACAGACACAGTACCATGCGACCTCCAACAAACCCTGTACCATGTCCTATAACAGTCTCTGTACCATGAAATAAAACTGTATCATGTCGTGCAACAGTCTCTGTACATTGTTATTTAACAGTCTTTGTACCATGTCCTCCAACAGTATCTGTATCATGTCCTACAACAGTATCTGTACCACGTCCTACAACTCTATGTAACATGTCCTACAACAGTATCTGTACCATGTGCTACAACTCTATGTAACATGTCCTCCAACAGCCTCTGTACCATGTCCTACAACAGTATCTGTACCATGTCCTACAACAGTATCTGTACCATGTCCTACACCTCTCTGTACCGTGTCCTACAACATTATCTGTACCATGTCCTACAACAGCCTCTGTACCATGTCATACAACAGCCTCTGTACCATGTCATACTACAGTCTCCGTACCATGTCCTACAACAGTCTCTTTACCATGTCCTACAACAGTATCTGTACCATATCATACAACAGTCTCCGTACCATGCCCTACAACCGCCTCTGTACCATGTCATACAACAGTCTCTGTACCATGTCCTACAACCGCGGTTGTACCATGTCATACAACAGTCTCGGTACCATGTCATTCAACAGCCTTTGTACCATGTCATACTACGAGTTCTCTACCTTTTTGTTTGAAGGTTCTGTACCATGTCCTACAACAGTCACTGTACCATGTCCTACAACAGTCTCTGTACCATGTCATTCAACAGCCTCTGTACCATGTCCTACAACTGTATCTGTACCATGTCCTACAACAGTCTCTGTACCATGTCCTACACCTCTCTGTACCATGTCATACAACATTATCTGTACCATGTCATACAACAGCCTCTGTACCATGCCATACAACAGTATCTGTACCATGTCATACAACAGTCATTGTACCATGTCCTACATCAGTCTCTGTACCATGTCATTCAACAGCCTCTGTACCATGTCCTACAACAGTCTCTGAACCACGTCATACTACAGTATCTGTACCATGTCATACAACAGTCTCTGTACCATGTCCCACAACAGTATCTGTACCATGTCATACTACAGTCTCTGAACCATGTCATACAACAGCCTCTGTACCATGTCCTACAACAGTCTCTGTACCATGTCCTACAACAGTCTCTGTACCATGTCCTACAACAGTATCTGTACCATATCATACAACAGTCTCCGTACCATGCCCTACAACCGCCTCTGTACCATGTCATACAACAGTTTCTGTACCATATCATACAACAGTCTCCGTACCATGCCCTACAACCGCCTCTGTACCGTGTCATACAACAGTCTCGGTACCATGTCCTACAACCGCCGTTGTACCATGTCATACAACAGTCCCGGTACCATGTCATTCAACAGCCTTTGTACCATGTCATACTACGAGTTCTCTACCTTTTTGTTTGAAGGTTCTGTACCATGTCCTACAACAGTCACTGTACCATGTGCTACAACAGTCTCTGTACCATGTCATTCAACAGCCTCTGTACCATGTCCTACAACAGTCTCTGAACCATGTCATACTACAGTCTCTGTACCATGTCCTACAACAGTATCTGTACCATGTCATACAACAGTATATGTACCATGTCCTACACCTCTCTGTACCATGTCCTACAACATTATCTGTACCATGTCATACAACAGCCTCTGTATCATGCCATACAACAGTATCTGTACCATGTCATACAACAGTCATTGTACCATGTCATACTACAGTCTCTGTACCATGTCATTCAACAGCCTCTGTACCATGTCCTACAACAGTCTCTGAACCATGTCATACTACAGTATCTGTACCATGTCATACAACAGTCTCTGTACCATGTCCCACAACAGTATCTGTACCATGTCATACTACAGTCTCTGAACCATGTCATACAACAGCCTCTGTACCATGTCCTACAACAGTCTCTGTACCATGTCCTACAACAGTCTCCGTACCATGCCCTACAACCGCCTCTGTACCATGTCCTACAACAGTCTCTGAACCATGTCATACTACAGTATCTGTACCATGTCATACAACAGTCTCTGTACCATGTCCCACAACCGCCGTTGTACCATGTCATACTACGAGTTCTCTACCTTTTTGTTTGAAGGTTCTGTACCATGTCCTACAACTGTCATTGTACCATGTCCTACAACAGTCTCTGTACCATGTCATACAACAGTATCTGTACCATGTCCTACAACAGTCTCCGTACCATGTCCTACAACAGTATATGTACCATGTCCTACAGCAATATTTGTACCATGCCCTCCAAGTCTCTGTACCATGTCATACAACAGTCTCTGTACCATGTCCTCAAAGTCTCTGTACCATGTCATACAACAGTCTCTGTACCATGTCCTCAAAGTCTCTGTACAATGTCATACAACAGTCTCTGTACCATGTCCTCAAAGTCTCTGTACCGTGTCCTCCAAGTCTCTGTACCATGTCCTACAAGTATCTGTACCATGTCCTACAAGTATCTGCACCGTGTCCTACAAGTATCTGCACCGTGTCCTACAACAGTCTCTGTACCATGTCCTCCAAGTCTCTTAACCGTGTCCTCCAAGTATCTGTACCATGTCCTACCAGTCTCTGTACCGTGTCCTCCAAGTATCTGTACCATGTCCTACAAGTCTCTGTACCATGTCCTACAACAGTTTCTGTACCATATCATACAACAGTCTCCGTACCATGCCCTACAACCGCCTCTGTACCGTGTCATACAACAGTCTCGGTACCATGTCCTACAACCGCCGTTGTACCATGTCATACAACAGTCTCGGTACCATGTCATTCAACAGCCTTTGTACCATGTCATACTACGAGTTCTCTACCTTTTTGTTTGAAGGTTCTGTACCATGTCCTACAACAGTCACTGTACCATGTGCTACAACAGTCTCTGTACCATGTCATTCAACAGCCTCTGTACCATGTCCTACAACAGTCTCTGAACCATGTCATACTACAGTCTCTGTACCATGTCCTACAACAGTATCTGTACCATGTCATACAACAGTATATGTACCATGTCCTACACCTCTCTGTACCATGTCCTACAACATTATCTGTACCATGTCATACAACAGCCTCTGTATCATGCCATACAACAGTATCTGTACCATGTCATACAACAGTCATTGTACCATGTCCTACAACAGTCTCTGTACCATGTCATTCAACAGCCTCTGTACCATGTCCTACAACAGTCTCTGAACCATGTCATACTACAGTATCTGTACCATGTCATACAACAGTCTCTGTACCATGTCCTACAACAGTCTCTGAACCATGTCATACTACAGTATCTGTACCATGTCATACAACAGTCTCTGTACCATGTCCCACAACAGTATCTGTACCATGTCATACTACAGTCTCTGAACCATGTCATACAACAGCCTCTGTACCATGTCCTACAACAGTCTCTGTACCATGTCCTACAACAGTCTCCGTACCATGCCCTACAACCGCCTCTGTACCATGTCCTACAACAGTCTCTGAACCATGTCATACTACAGTATCTGTACCATGTCATACAACAGTCTCTGTACCATGTCCCACAACCGCCGTTGTACCATGTCATACTACGAGTTCTCTACCTTTTTGTTTGAAGGTTCTGTACCATGTCCTACAACTGTCATTGTACCATGTCCTACAACAGTCTCTGTACCATGTCATACAACAGTATCTGTACCATGTCCTACAACAGTCTCCGTACCATGTCCTACAACAGTATATGTACCATGTCCTACAGCAATATTTGTACCATGCCCTCCAAGTCTCTGTACCATGTCATACAACAGTCTCTGTACCATGTCCTCAAAGTCTCTGTACCATGTCATACAACAGTCTCTGTACCATGTCCTCAAAGTCTCTGTACAATGTCATACAACAGTCTCTGTACCATGTCCTCAAAGTCTCTGTACCGTGTCCTCCAAGTCTCTGTACCATGTCCTACAAGTATCTGTACCATGTCCTACAAGTATCTGCACCGTGTCCTACAAGTATCTGCACCGTGTCCTACAACAGTCTCTGTACCATGTCCTCCAAGTCTCTTAACCGTGTCCTCCAAGTATCTGTACCATGTCCTACCAGTCTCTGTACCGTGTCCTCCAAGTATCTGTACCATGTCCTACAAGTCTCTGTACCATGTCCTACAAGTCTCTGTACAATGTTCTACCAGTCTCTCTACCGTGACCTACAACAGCCTCTGTACCATGCCCTACAACAGTCTTTGTACCATGTCATACTACGAGTTCTCAACTTCGTGTTAGAAAGTTCTGTACCATATCATACAAGTCTCTGTACCATGTCCAACAACAGCCTCTGTACCATGTCATATTACGAATTCCCTTGTTTGTTCTTTGAGGGTTCTGTACCATGTTCTACAGCAGCCTCTTTACCATGTCATACAACAGCCACGGTACCATATCATACAACAGTCTCCGTACCATGCCCTACAACCGCCTCTGTACCGTGTCATACAACAGTCTCGGTACCATGTCCTACAACCGCCGTTGTACCATGTCATACAACAGTCTCGGTACCATGTCATTCAACAGCCTTTGTACCATGTCATACTACGAGTTCTCTACCTTTTTGTTTGAAGGTTCTGTACCATGTCCTACAACAGTCATTGTGCCATGTCCTACAACAGTCTCTGTACCATGTCATTCAACAGCCTCTGTACCATGTCCTACAACAGTCTCTGAACCATGTCATACTACAGTCTCTGTACCATGTCCTACAGCAGTCCCTATACCATGTCCTACAACAGCCTCTGTACCATGCCCTACAACCACCACTGTACCATGTCATACAACAGTCTCGGTACCATGTCATTCAACAGCCGTTGTACCATGTCATACTACGAGTTCTCTACCTTTTTGTTTGAAGGTTCTGTACCATGTCCTACAACAGTCATTGTGCCATGTCCTACAACAGTCTCTGTACCATGTCCTACAACAGCCCCTGTACCATGTCCTACAACAGCCCCTGTACCATGTCGTACAATAGCCCCTGCACCATGTCATACAACAGTCTGTGTACCATGTCCGCCAAGTATCTAAACCATGTCCTACAAGTCTCTGTACCATGTCCTACAATAACCTATGTACCATGTCATACAACAGCCCCTGTCCCATGACCTACAAGTCTCTGTACCATGTCATACAACAGCCTCTGTACCATGTCCTACAACAGTATCTGTAATGTTATACAACAGTCTCTGAACCATGTCTGACAGCAGTCTCTGTATCATGTCCTACAACAATCTCTGTACCATGTCATACAACAGTCTCTGTACCATGTCATACAACAGTCTCTGTACCATGCTACACCAGTCTCTGTATCATGACCTACAACAGTCTCCAACTATGTCCTACAATAGCCTTTGTATCATGTCCTACAACTGTCTCTGTACCATGTCATACAACAGCCACTGTACCATGTCCTACAACAGTCTCTGTACCATGTCCTACAACAATTTCTGTACCATGTCCTTCAACAGTCTCTGTACCATGTCCTACAACGAGTTCCTTACTTTGTTGTTTGAAAGTTCTGTACCATGTCCTGCAACTTGAAGTGTAAGATATCCTCAAAGCGGACACTGGCACGTATCCGTCACTTCACGACACATGACTAAAACGGCACACCATACTGTGAAGACTTGTGTTCCCTCAGGTGCCAGACCCTCTGATGGCTGGTTCGAATCCACGATTCACTCTGCAGCACACCTGCTTTCGCACACGTGATAACTGTCTAAGACCTGCGTCGCTTAGTGTTGTCCTCCAACAAGTTTACACATAATGATATAACTACACTACCTAATAAAGTGACCTGAAACCCATCTCACGTTATTGCAATAAGACACCAGTCATATAAGCGGTAACAAGAAGTCTTTTATTCAAGTATGAAAATTGTACAAAAATTATGCAAAAGATTGATTCACCCAATATGTACAAAAACAAGTATTTGCCCTATGCTCTATATATACATACTATATAATCTACAGCTATCGCTCGGTGGCTCAGAGGTCTCTGTCTTTGTAGTTCCATGTCTAGGTGAATCCGTATACGGTTAAATGCTTCAAGATAACTCGCTCAATACTTCCCTGTAGCAACTGACCCAACACGAATATATCCCCGAGGACGATGCCGTTGGACTGACCAAATCATATGTACCTCATGTCCTGCTATTATGTTTGTAATTAAGGCGTTTTTTTTAAATCAGGGTAGCGTTTTTTGTGAAGATGACTACCTCGTTTGGTTTTATTTTCTTGACAGGGGTCAACAAAAACAAACTATGGTATAACCTTTCCAAATGAATCCAGATAAGCACAGTATTTTGCCAATCTTGTGAATTGCTGTTTTTCTGATTTCGAGGACAGCATCGCTTGAACCACCGAGTCTGTCAAGGTTAAAATACACATAGCATCGGTAACATGTATAGTTAAAACTATGTACAACGCGAACTAATATTCATCCAAGATATCAACGATGATGTATCTTTTGATGTATTACATGACCTAGATGAAGAGTAATGTCATTTTAGAAAGTACACAAGCTTTGTGTCTTTACTTCAGTCTCTTGAGTGCCAATATCTCGGAAAAAGAAATCTTGGTACGTTTTTTCTGACTTTCATTTGTGCTTCAAATATCTGATTGCCGCATAGCGGCGTGATACGTGTTTCAAACACATCCGGAATCAAAACAACCGGAAGTGAACTTCGCCCTCTTCCGATAAAAATGTAGATGACTTGTCTTATGGTGATGTGAAACAGAATGCATCTATTCTACATGCGGATGTCGCTCTGGCACCGCATCGGCTTCCTCGCTCCTTCATTTGTCTCTGTGTTCCGTGTGAACTCTGACACATTCGTTACGTCAACAACGGTGAACACGACGTCGCGCATACCAAAAATGGAAACCACGGTTTCCATGGTAATCATAACCAGTTCTCGTTCAGATCTCGTTTACGTGTCTTCAGCCATGATGGTGTCTCCTCCTTCTCCGTCGTCGACGTCCGCCCCTGTTCCTGTTGAACATGCTGTTGAAATAGTTCCATTTACACGTGCGCATGCTTCCACATATTTTTTCAACGGAAAGCCTTGGGCAGTTCATGCCGCCATTACGAGCGTGCTGTGTGACCTGACGTGTCCTTGTATTGACGCCGAAGCCACACGTTAAGCTGCACGCGCTCCACGGTGACCATTCAGTGACCAAACAGTCTAGTTGTTCTGAAAGATGAAAATACAGGATTATAACATTGACTTAGTAACGTATAACGCCCCTTAAAACACACATCAAGCATATTTCGGGAGCACATCGCCATTGGTTTCACGGTACCAATCGAACACAGATCTTCGGCATTACGTGAGCACACATTATATCAAAAGGATACTCCCCTCGCCTCACAGGACTATTATGTGAGGTGAGGTGAAATAGGGTTTAACGTCACGTCCAAGATTATTGCACTTATATAGGGATGTGCATGCACGTGTGTGTGTGTGTGTGTGTGTGTGTGTGTGTGTTTGGCTGCTTGTACTAGTCCGGACTGATGCCGATTTATAGTGCTAGCTCACTGAGATACCATGCCGCAGTTTCACATGAATACCCCACTCAGACACAGTATACTGACTCCGAGCCGTCCAGTCCTTGTTTTAGCACCTTAATGCCGACCGGCAGACAGGGTAACAACAAATACCATCTTTTAACGTTTTTTTGGTATGACGCGGCCGGGGATCGAACTACGGACCTTCCGCTCTCCGGGCGGACGCTCTACCACTAGACCACGGAGGCGGTCAGGAATATTACGATGACTTCTCAATAATCTGTCGATATGGTACCGTCTTTTTCACCGCTTACGGATATAAATCACCTCACTCATTGTTGGCTTAGTTTGTTTGTTGTTTAACGCCGCACTCAGTCATATTCCAGCTATATGATTGCGGTCTGTAAACTATCGAGTCTGGTCCAGACAATCCAGTGATTGAAATCATGAACATCGATCCACGCAATTGGGATACGATGACATGCACCAACCAAGTCAGCGAGCCTGACCACCCGATCCCGTTAGTCGCCTCTTACGAAAGTGATCAGTGCTTTAAGCGTGTTGGATTTCCAAAATTGATACAATTAGTTCAGTTTGTTGTGGGTATGATGCGGCTTTAATCATATTGAATACCTTTCAAATACCAACCAGGCTAGAGGTTTCAAGTGTACGAACATAAAGCTCCCATTCTGTTTGGAGCTGTTATTGTTAGAGACACGAATATGAAGGCACTGGCGGTTCTCATTGAATTCAGCGACCTCTTATGAAAGCGTCGTCAGATCTTGATGCAGAGAGGTATTGGGCCGGAGTAAAAAGGTCAAATAATGATTAGATTGTTAGATTGATCATGATACATCCATCTACTTCACATGCACTATGTACATGCATATTCATATATAAATATTACGAAATGTTTTACTAACCCTAGGACATATTGACTAGGATAGACCAACTCACCATCTGTTTTCCTGCCTCTCAGTGGAGATTTCACGTGGAAGATGCCCAGTGTTTCTAAAGCCTCTTTCTGGTCTGTCTCTTTCTCGACGTTGTCACCACGACTTTCACTCCACGTGTCTTTCTCGACGTCATTATCAGCACCGCCTCGGACATAGGTAGGAGCGTTGTTGTCAACGTCGCTGTCCACTGGTTTGCCCACTAGTGGTGTCTGAGTGTGGGGCCTTTCAGTTTGACCGCTCCGGACAATGTCTTCGACGTGCTGGTTGACCTGGTGACCTTGAGTGGCGCCCGTCTTAACGCCTCCAGACGAGTATGCAGCGGCGTAGTCCGGGACAACGTCCTCGTCTTTTTCAACGTCTTCTTTCACCTGACTGTCGATAGTGTGATCAAACATAATAGGCTTCCCTGTCGACCTTGTGTTCACGCTTTGATCAACGTTGTCGTGTCCGTAGTGCTGCTCTCGATCTACACTTTGCTGTACTTGACTTCCGGTATTGTACTTCTGTGTGATCTCATGGCTTTCCTCACTACGGTCTGAAATCTGACTATTTGATTCTTTTGCTTCTTCGCTGTCTACACTGTTCATGTTCAGATTGCCCTGCTCAACACTCACATCTTCACCTTCGTCTGACTCCTTTGACATCGGGAACGTCGGCTGCAGCATCAGTCTAGCCTTGGCAGCTTCTTCAGAATCGTTGTCCTCTCCCATTGTGTTTTTTACCGTCTCAAGCCCATGCTCCCGTGTTAATGAATTAACATTATCAACTGGGCGGTACATCTGTGTAGTTGTTGTAGTTGGAGCTGGTGTTGTAGGATTTTCAGACGTCGTTGAGACATCGGCATACGGATCCCTCCCGGCGAGAAATGACTCCACAGCTTTCTCTTCAGTACGTTCAATCTTAGTTCCGACGTGAGGTCCCTCTTCCTCTTCCTCAACCTCTTCCGAGCTCTGGTCAGCCAGGACTTGTCCTCCCCTTTTCACCATTCTCTGAAGGAAGAAGGTACGTCTTGGTGACGTCTTCAATCTGTTCTGGATATCATTCTCTAGCTTCTCCCTTAGTGCCTGGTCGATCTTGGTGTTGATCGCGATCTCTTCCGCGCCTGCCTCCTGCGGGGCCCACGATTTGTGTGACAGTTCATGGGGCTGCTTCTCAACGACCATGTTAGGCATGGAGTTGAATTTAACATCCGTGGACCGTCCCTGTTGCTGGTATTCCACAACCCTCTCCAGAATGGCATGAGCTATCCGGGGCAGCTTATTTCTGTCCGGGTAGAAGAAGGAGCTGGCCGGATGGTCGGGGTAGCTGGGTGTAATCTCAAATATTTTCTGTGGCGGGTGAGAGGGCCAGTTGGGGGACGTGTAGGTGAGACCTTTGTCAGTTCCGGCGTCCATTGGGCGGAGGTGGGCGTACACCTTCCTTCTCCAGCGGCCATTGCGGCACAGCTCCAGTCCATCGACGCCAACAAACCAGTCAGGACTCGGGATGATCTTCACCAGGAAGGAAACCTGCAACATGCATAGAACGTGAGTCAAAGGGTGTTACTCTCAGCCCGGAGATCGGAAGGTCCGGGGTACGGTACCTGGCCGCGTCATACCAAGAGAAGTTTAAAGATGGTACTTGTCGTTACCCTGTCTGACGCTCGGCATTAAGGGGCTAAAACAAGGACTGATCGGCTCGGAGTCAGTATATTGTGTCTGAGTGGGGTATTCATGTTAAAACTGCGGCATAGTATCTCAGTGAGCTAGCACTATAAATCGGCATCAGCCGGACTAGTACAAGAAGCCACATACACACACACGTGCATGCACGTCACTATATAAGTGCAATAATTTTGAACGCGACGTTAAACTCCATTTCACCTTACCTGTTACTCTCCCTAAACGGTTCTTACGGTTATACTGTATGTCAAAGGTTATTATTAAGGGCGGTGGGGCAGCCTTGTTGTTTAAACATTCGCCCATCACGTCGAAGACCCGGGTTTCGATTCCCCACATGGGTACAATGTGTGAAACCCATCTCTGGTGTCCTCCGCCGTGATTTTGCTGGGATATTGCTAAAAGCGGCGTAAAACCATACTCACTCACTCACTCCAATGTTATTTTCCCCTACCACGTCATACCCACCTGCCTGCCAGGATGGCACGTCGCTATACAATTGCAGGGGCGGTCAAGTAGCCTAGTGGTTAAAGCGTCCGCTCGTCACGCCGAAGACCCGGGTTCGAATCCCGACATGGGTACAATGTGTGAAGCCCATTTCCGTTATATTGCTGGAATATTGCTAAAAGCGGCGTAAAACCAAACTCACTCACTCACTATACAATTGCAATAATCAAGACGAACCATGCACCGGATTGTGCATCAACTGGCACAAAGACATCACAGAGCTTCGACTTCTGTCACAGAATGTCAAATGTCTATGTTAAAGTATGAGCGTTAAGATGGCCGTAGTGCAAAGATCGCTTTGTGCAGATGGGCCCTGATCCATCTGATATAATTACTCCTCGCGATGTTATACATACCTTTGAATGTTTTCCATCAGCGAAGATTCTTGCCGACGTCCGACCCACCCCTCCTCGGATTGGTGCAGCGGTGAATATATCAAACGTGTCATTGTATCCTTGCGCATGCCTGTCCAGTAATATTGTGCTTCTTTCTTCAACAAATTTCTTAACAGCATGAGAGGCCAGCTCACCCACAGACCACATCTTATGCGTCCGCCCATGAGTTAAACCTGAAAAAAATAGTCCAGGGATCAGCATAATTTTGTAAAGAAACAACAATTTTCTTTCTGCATACTGCTACAGATAGCGGACAGAGGAGTAGGCAGAAGTCTCCAGTAGCTGCTTGTCGTAAAAAGCACGGGGGCCGAAGAAATAGGTTCACATAAACCTCTGTGGGGACTAGAACCTGAGCATTCGGCATGACGAGTGAGTGAGTGAGTGAGTTGGATTGAACGCCGCTTTTAACAGTATTCCAGTTATATCGCGGCGTGTCAGCTTAATGTGGGAGGAAAGCCCGAAGTGATGCAGGTCTCGGACGTTCACCACTTCGGTGAAACCAACGAGCACGGGTATGGTGCTGACAAACCTAGAAACATAATCGGGGCGAACCGGGATTCGAGCCCACAATCATAGGTTTCTGGCGTGCCCAAGGGACGCAACTCTGCACAGCGAATCGCGGCGCCTTAGACGATTGGGCCACCCGTGCCCCCTTCGGCATGACGAGCGACCACTTCAACCACCAGGCTACTCCAACGCCCCGAGCTGAATTGCATCAATTCTACATGTATGTCTGTCGTGCAGATGTTGTCCTATATTCTTCCCCTTATTTAGCAGAATGTATAGACTATGATTAACAGCGAACCTCACGTTAACGTTTGCATGCTCAGCAACCGCCTGTTTACACACTGAGAAATGTACACAGTTGAATATCCCTCATGTGATTCGTTCCAGGTTTGGTTGTTAAGACTGGAAATAACAATGTCCTCAAAGTTTTCCAGTGTCGGGTCATGACACAAATGAGACTACTTCTGCTAGAAGTGTATTTATGAAAAGTGCTTAGAGTTGAATCAAGGGGACTCGACTTGGGCGATAAGGCGGTAACTCGGAGTTAAATCTTGGTAAGAATTTATCGTTCATTCAGTGAATTATTTGCTCAAACGGGTGCACGGGTGGCCCAGTAATCTAGATCTCAGCAATTCTCTCTTCTTAATTCTCCCCTCGGCCGTGTCCAGATTAGTCCTGATTATAATCATTGGTTTGTCAAACAAGTTTGAAAAGTCTAGGACTTGCGTCACCTCGGGTTTTCCTCACACACCATGATAAACTAAGTACTCTACAAAGCGGCGGTCACCTCAACTTGACCCATGGGCGAATCTGGGAATGAGCTTACAATCAGCGGATCCTGGCACACCTCAGGGCCCTAACTCTGCAGTGAACTGCGGGGCCTTCGACTTTTGGGCTACTTGTGTAGTAGTAAACCCTCAAGCTGTGACCTGAGTTGTGATATATCGATATATTGCTGTGGGTGCTGTTACCGTTGTGCTGTTACTTCTTTGTTGAGGTTTGGCTGTTGGTATTGTCGTGATGTTGCTGCTGCTGTGTTTGTTTGTTGCTTAACTCCGCAATGTTCCAGCTCTATGACGACGGTCTGTAAATAATCGAGTCTGAACCAGACAATCCAGGGATTGACATCATGAGCATCTATCCACGCAATTAGGTTTCGATGAGATGCATCAAACCAAGTCAGTGAGCCTGGCCACCCGATCCCGTTAATCGCCACAAGCATAGTCGCCTTTTACAGCAAGCATGGGTTGCTGAAGACCTATTCTACCCCGGATCTGCTGTTCCTGTAATATTGCTGTTGGTATTGTGATGTTGCAATGTGTTTATGTAATGTTGATGGTATTACGGCGCTGTGCCATTGTTGTGCTGTTGCTATTTTTATTGCATATTGCTGTGTTGTTGGGATGCTGTTCATGTAAAATGGATGTCGTGCTGTTGCTGTTGTTGATGCGATATTGCAATGTTGTTATTGCCGTGGCTTTGCTATGACAATGTTGTAATATCATTGTCGTGTTGTTGCCGTTTCCTCTCCATAATTCTCACACCCCAATACAGCATTTCAACCGATGGCATTTCAACCTATGTTCGTGAGTATAGAAGGAAGTAACACCACCACAAACAGTTGTAAGATGGTGGTCAGGTGCTATTTTGGCAGGTTCGAAATGCCACTGATAGGATGTCCATCTGTTATGCGTTTCGTTACATACACAGGAACGAGGCTGGACACGTGTTGTCTATCTTCACAAACAGTGTTTATTGGGGGATGTTTTCCCATTATCTCGACTACCAGTCTCTGGACCAGATGTTACAATGTATCATACACTGTGATGACAACTCCTTAGCACAACCCTAAACCGGTCTATCCTAACGAACACGCCGACCCAGACGCCCCGCATGCACCCGGAGCGGCCATGTTGATGACCTCTTACGCGCAGACGTTGGTAAAAGATCAATCTTCCTGCGATATTTCCCCAACAACTGGTCCCAGGTGCTGTCTGTAGACGATATGTATGAGGCAGATTGAGGGAGCAATAGCCAACGTATGTTTGTTGTAGAACACCGGGTCAGGCTGCAGTATATAGAGCAGAGTGGAAACCGTGTCTAGGACAAGTATTGTGCAACAGTCGCGTCCGCTAGTCGGTCTTGCTGAAATGTCAGAGCTCCAGTTGTGGGGGAAACATTATCAGTTTCTGGGTTTGCGCCACCCGTCTGTTTTTGATGTACTTACTTTCCATAGCACGATCACGCATTGGCCCGATTTGGTGAGTGTGGCCTTGACATTGAGGTATGATTCACTCGCATCGGGGAGAACTGAACTTTCATATATCTACATACGTTACAGATGTAGACGAGTCAATCTCAACCAGATGACTTGATTGTCAACACGGGCAGTGGGTTAGTCTAGTGGGTGCTCCGTCCACTTGAAGCGCTAGGGACACGGGTTCAACTCCCATGATGAGTGCATTTGTGAAATTGTAAGATGACGTTACAAACGTTGCAAATCCACTCACTCACTTTAAGTGTCTAAAATAAAGCTGACACCCAACTATTCATTTCAATGTCATCGTGAGTGAATATGGTTTTATTCCGCTTTTAGCAATATTCCAGCAATATCACGGGGAAAACCAGAATTGGGCTTTACACATTTTTTTGTACCCGTGTCGGAATTCAAACCCGGGTTACCAAAAGACGCTAAAAGATGGTACTTGTTGTTACCCTGTCTGGCGCTCTGCATTGAGGGGCTAAAACAAGGACTGGTCGGCTCGGAGTCAGTATACTGTGTCTGAGTGGGTTTTTTATGTTAAACTGCGGCATGGTATCTCAGTGAGCTAGCACTATAAATCGGCATCAGTCTGGACTAGTACAAGCAGCCACACACACACACACACACACACACACACACACACACACACACACGTATATAAAAGCGCTATATAAGTGCAATAATCTTGGACGCGACGTTAAACCCCATTTCACCTCACCTCTAACGTACTGTACATCTAACCGAGACTATTTCAAGTTTGACCTAGAACCATTTTCCAGTCTTCATCAGTGATATGTGTGCGTTTGGTTAACTGTTTTTCAAGTCAGATCGAAATATATCTGAACTTTACAATATGTCGATAAGGCAGATCCACACACAACGGTGGCCTGCTTTTCAAGTGATCCGAGGCGAAAAAACTCGCCGCAACCTTAGCTGCCAGAATCGAGTGTCAGATTCAAACAGATCGTGAACTTTGGTTTGGCAGCATGTACCCGTTCTCGTGGGTTTAACATAGTAACCATCTGGGACTTGCTTCCTCTTCCCAAACATAAAAAGGTGTTTCTGAAAGACGGTCATGGGGAGGCATTCAACCCTCCACGACTTCTCACAAAGGACACTGCAAAACTACCCCTTGTCCTGCATGCCAGATGAAGCCAAGTACATGTCTCCCTGCACCCGGGTCAGTCCGCGTTCTTTACTACTTAGAAAACTATCCAGCTCTCGTTTACATTCAAAGACATTGCAAACGCTCGACGTTTCCCACAAGCGGGTGTGTTTACTCGGGGTTTGACTTCCGACATTAACTGCTCGTCCCTGCTTGGGTATCTCGGCAGCTGTCATGCTCCGCTATTGTTAGATGCACGTGGCTGCATACATCAAAGCAGGTGCGAGTTGAAACCTCTTATATCATACTTAGCACCGATACCACGCTCAGTGGGGTTGTATTGTTGAGTTGTTGGTTCAGAGCTACCGCTAATTCTTCCATAGATGTGTTCAAAGAGTACCACTGGCACGAGGAGATCCTAGTTTCATTTCTGAAACATCGGTGGTGGTAACCAACTGCTCGTGGCAATGACCAGCCAGCCATCCTTGAGGAACATAGCTAGGGGAGGGTGTTAGGATTGCTGAGGCAACGTATCTACGTAACATCCCGCTAGCCTTCAATATGTGGAAGGGGTCATGTTTATTTTTCGTTTGTTGTTTAACGTCGGTATGTATGTAAGTAATCGAGTCTGGACCAGACAATCCCGAGATTGACATCATGACTATCGATCTAGGCAATTGGGATACGATGACATGCATCAACTAAGTCGGCGAGCCTGACCACCCGATCCCTTTTGTCGCCTCTTACGACAAGCATAGCCTCTTACTACAAACATTGTCGCCTCTTACGACAAGCAATAGTTGCCGAAGACCAATTTTAACCCGGATCTTCAAGGGTCGGAAAGGGTCATGGAATAGCCAAACGATGGGAAGGGTAGGTGGGAATCGGACCGCGTGGCCAGTGAACAGACATGCGTAGTAGATGAGAAGTCTTTCTATTTGTTCATTTATTCATTTAACAGAATACGACAACATCAAGCTCGAGAGACCATGCTAAGTTTGACCAGTTACGACTCCCACCTTACACCCAGGAACCCAGTCTGCCATTCAGGACCGGAAACAAATATTCTAATACAGCCCATGCTAATCTATAATAGTGGTCAAGTCTTGATTACTGCAGTTTTAGGATATGAAGAGAGTCTCTGGGCTCCTTTTTATTGTATTTTATTCAGATACTTCAACATTTGTTTTTTCTGTACAATATTTTCATTTCAGGGACTAGTTGTTAATCTACTGGAAGCCTTTCAGAGCACCACCGACCCCTACCAGCCCCCCCCCCCCCCCCCCCCCCCCCCCAGC